TTTACTCTCGTCCTGCAACTTGTTATCTGGCAAACTAGACTTGACTAAAATCTCCTTTCAGGTAATTGTAGAGGGCAATAAGGTACCCCCTGAGCCTCCTTTTCTCAGGCTAAACAATCCCAGCTCCCTCAGCCAATCCTCATAAGACTTGTGCTCATTTATATGTAGGCTCTTTACCTCTTATCAGTGTATTCTGAACCTTCTTTTACAGCAACACACAAACTTGTTCAGAGCAAGCACGTTTTAGAAGAAATTTTCCCCTTGGAAACATTCTACAGAGTCATATTCAGAAAGTACAGTCAAACCTTCTCTCTCTAGTGCAAAGACTGTGAAAGATGGCACCTCCTCTGGGAAGTTGGTCTGGGGCCTGGGAAAAAAATGGTGCAGCCTTCAGAGGCAAACAGTATCTCTACCCACAAAAACCTCTAATGTAAGAAACAAAATGCTGCTCACTGAAGCCACAAATGAGAACCGCTTGTTTTCTTATTAGGAACTCCTTGCCCTGCTTCACAGTGTTCCACTGACACCACTCACTGTCATAAGCAGATGACCTAAGAGAATTAGCCATACCCATATTTCCTTTCACCAAATACAAACATATAACACCTCAAAACATGAAATAATGGCAATAATGAAATAGTACTTACTGTAATCACAGCCTTGCTCAGACAGATAGAGCCTCTGCAGCCATACTCAGTTTCATCTTCAGACTTGTAATAACTGAGTGTGTTGCTTTTCAGAACTACCCATCGATCCTGCCACCCATGAATGTAGTTGGTCCACTGTAAAAAGAATTTCCAAAGATCAGCTAATAGAAACATAACAATAAAAGGAAGTAAAATGGATATTTTTCAGGCTTTTTGAGCACCTTCAGAAAAAAGCAACTTATTTTTACAAGTTCTTCCCAACTGAGAACTTTTTTCTACTCAGAGCTCCTAGAATAATTTTACAAACTCCTAAAGGTACAAAAACTCAGTTGTCCCAAAGAGTCAATATAGAGACAGATGTCTTGACTGCAACTGCATTGCCAAGGCCAGTTACAATAAAGATAATAAACATACTGATAGTACAAATTGAGGAAACTGGGGAAGGGAGAAAAATCAAACATTAACTACTAAAGAGAATTTAGGTACCTGATATAAAATTGGGAGTTAGGTCAAAAGACTTGAAGGGAACATGAAATAAATTTTATATAAAATGTCATATAAAGTTCTCTTCATAGAAATAAAATCATGCCATTATCTCATGATACAGTAAATAACTATTGTGCCTAGAGGAATCAGGTTTTTATCAATTTAACACTGCTTTAGGTTTTAATTCTAACCACTTTCACAAAGAAGATACTTGCTTATCAGCAGACATTCAATCATGCTTTTGCTGTTCAGATTTTTCTAGGGACTTCACATTCACACATGGAATAAAACCGATTTTTCAGGAACAAATTCTGGATTAATTCTAGAGAGATGTAGTAAGAAGTGACTAAAAGTTCTGATTATTAATCTTATCTTTGCAACATCTTCCCAACTGCATTTTGTAGAATCATATCATACTGACAGCAAATCAGGACTATCCTATAATTCTGACAATACACTGGGCTTAGTCTTCAATCACAGTAAAAATATTATAAATTTGATAAAAACAGAACCAAAGCATTGAAAACAATCTTATCATGCAAGCATTACTTTGATTATGACGAGTGTTCTTTGACAAAAAGCTCAGAGAAGTAACCTCTTATTAGCATTTAAATACAACCATTATTTTTCATTTTGTAATATAAAAATGAGGAGGGGAGAAAAATCAACCAACCGCCTTATTTCCACATTATACTACACTTATTAGTTAACACATATTCTATAACTACATGTTAACTCTAGTTATCAGACGATGAGGTCTAAAGAAAAAAATTACCGCTGAGAAATTCCTAACAATTTTCAAATGTAGGCAAGACCTTGATTTCCTCTCCAAATATAAAGCCCTTTTTCATCTCTTAATACAACTAATTGCTAAGTTCAGCATTACTTAAAGAAAGCCTCAGCTGTGTCAGTACATGAACTGGTAGTACAAGCTATGGAGGTATATTATTTCCTGCCTTTCTCTTTTCCTATCTCTTATGTTTCCAGCTCCTCCTAAGAGGTGAAAGACAGAGCCCGAAGTTGTCTTCGGCAAAAAAGCAAGAGAAAGCACCTTTTCTTTTTCGAAAAAGTTAAGAGAGACAAATATAGCAGTCAATCTTGCATCTGCTGTTGCAATCGAAGCTTGCTGTTGCAATTCAAGTGTGCCATGAATTAAGAGACTCCTTAAAGCATACTTGGGTAAACACAAGGTTTTGGCTGAGAAGTGACCACTGTTTTTCCAAGCATCTAGAAAAACTAGATGTTCAAGAAATACTCTTCCACGTTGAAGTTCTTTCTTCGTATCCACCTTAAAATCGTTAGCAGGAAACAAAATGGAAAAAAAGCCCAGAGTTTCAAAACACCAGCAGGACGTACTTCTAACAAGTTTCTCTTACCAAATAACTCCATTTCCTTCAAAGCTTTTCTCTTTAGCGAAAGGCAGAACTACTGAAACACTAAGTACTTAGCGAACTGCAGCTTATTTCTTCGATTTTAGAACTTAAGTAATAAAAATAGATATTTTCTTAGTAGAAAGTTCAGCATGCTACCATTTCATTTCAATTAGTTTGTCTCAATAATTAGTGAGGTATCAACTAACAAAAGGTAGCCTTATCCCTCAAACATACTCATTGCAACAGGTTTCGCCATACTTGACTATTCAGATTAAATTCCTCACAGGAAAGTCAGTGTTTGCTACACTTAGCATGTTCATCTAAAAAAGCAAAAAGTTTGCACATACCTAAGCTACAGAATGTCTGAAGCCATGGCTTCACCTTCTATGCCAGAAACAGTACCTGGACTTAATTTTTAATTTGCTAACATAAAAATAAATTATATCTCACAGATTACATCCCTTCTAATGATGGAAGCATCTTACCAAAGAAAACCTTTGCAATGAAAAAAACCCCAAACAAAATAGCAAAACTACACCAATCAAAAAATCTCACATTGTAACTGCTGTAACAGCCATCTCATCCTCCCTCTGGCATCCACTGTTAAATAAGAAGATCTTACAAATGCAAGCAGAGATCCTTCTTTTCTCCTAACTATTCTTCTTATCTCTGGAAGGATGGAAGCATATCCATCCACATCCATTCTCAGGATGGAAGTAGTTCAGAGAGTCCCTCACAACAAGCAGAGTGTGACCTGCTTTCTCTGCATCCAGGGCAAGTTTAAGATCTCTGTATCCTGTAACTTATGTCTCCTACGTTGGCTTGTGCCCAGCCTTATCATGAAGGGCAGGAAAAAAAATGCAAGACGTAGTGCTTTAATTCTAAACATTATTCTGAATATACTTTCCGTAATGAAAAAAAAAAAAAGTGGTCAAACTTAGTAATTTAATATTCAACTTCAAAGTACTTCTAAAAATAAGATTTCCCGGTACCACCCGACACATACTTGGATATCACCTTATTTTCAGCGATAAAAGAGGAAAAAAAATACGGCTATTTTTAAAAGGGGAAACAAGCTGTAGGGCCATTTTCCTTTTCCGTTCCTCCCGTTATCTCTTGCTGCAGGAGTATTTCTTTATTGCCCTGCTTTAACACTCGCACTGAAAGCCGTGCCCGCTCCCGGGGAGCCACCACGGTGCCTGCGGGAGCTCCCGGGGTGCCGCGACACCCAGCCGGGGCCGAGCGCGGGAGACGCCTCTCGCCCGGCTCCGCGGCCCAGCAGCGGACGGCGCGCGAGCTGTGGGGCCGGCCGGGACCGCAGCTGTCCCGGGGGGATGGGCTGCTCCGGCGCGGGGCGGGCGGGGCCAGGGAGGGGAGCGCGGGCGCCGCCAGGCTCTGCCTGTCAGCCACGCTTCAGGCGTCAGTGGCGGTGCCCGCCGGGCTCTGCAGCGCCCCCGCCGAAGCCGAGCACAGACCCCCCCGCACGGCCCCTCGGCCTGACTCCCTGGGGCTGACAGCGAGGAGGGGAGCGGGGATGGGGGAGCGCCGGGCTGCGGGAAGGGGGTAGAGGCGGCTTACCTTGCTGAGCACCCCGCAGAGCTCAATGGGCAACCCGAGCTCGGTCTCAGGGTCCTCCTCGGAGCCGGAGGAATTCCAGCTCTGGTTGTCCGACATGGAGCCGAGACCGCAGCCACCGCCAGGCTGGGAAAGAGCCGGAGGGCCCCGCCCCAGCAGCCTCCTCCTCCTCTGCCGAAGGGACGGAGCGCCAGGCTCTACCTGAGCGGGTGCGCCCGTCGAGCGCGCCCACCCCTGCCCAGCGACCTGCCAGCGACCGGCGGCGACCAGGCTCGCAGCCCAGGCTCCCTTCGCGAGGCCCACAGACCCCGCCGCGGCCAGAGCCACACACCGGGACGCTAGGGAGGAGGGCGAGCGCGCGCCCGCTCAGCGCGCCGCCGCCGCCATTTAGCGGGGCGCGCGCTCGAGCCACCACTCACCAGTCCCCCCCGCCAGCCCGCGCGCGGCGCCCACGGGGTGTAGTCCAGTAACCGCGGAGCCGTGAGGCGAGGCGCTGCTTCCCTCGATAGTGCACAGGCATGTTGGAGGTGTAGTTCAGCCCTGGCCGGCGACCTGCCGCCATCTTATTTCGTCTCCGTGACGGACGGTGTCGGCAGGTCTCGCATCAGTGCCCCCGGTGAGGGGAATTCCGCTCCCGAGGGCGGTGGTGCTGCTCGGGGGATGTTTGCTTTGTCTCTTGCTTTATCCTTTGCTTTATCTTTAGCGAGGCGAAGCGTCTCTCCGGCTCTGCTTGCTTTTTAGGGTGAGGAGGTGCAGCCTCGCCTTTCTCTCCTCGAACTGGCGGGATTCGGGGAGAGGGGGTGTGAACTTCAAACTTTTCCCTAATCAAAGGTGGTGGAGGCGGCGGGAAGGGGCGGGAAGTGCTACCGGCTCCGGTGAAATGTGACGGGAGGGCGGGTCCGTGCCGGTTCCACTTCGCCTGTGATGTCCCAGGGCGTGGGACGGGCAGAGCTGGTACTCTGGTGGGTCGGCGTTCGGCACCAGCTGCGAGGTACTGCGGGTGTCCTGGCATCCATTTATCAAACTGCTTTCGCAGTTGAGGGAACAAACCGCTGATTTCTTTCTTCAGACTTAAGTCTGACACACCTGTATTCGTCCATGTTTATGGATAGAGGAATATTTGCAGAGAGGGGGAAAAACCCAACCCCACCGTTGAACCTTCAAGATTTTTGGGCAGGTGTAGTGGTTTGAGAAGGACTTACGGTTCGTACTAACTCATCTCCTTTCTCGTGATTTCTTGGGCGGGGGGGAAGTGCATTAAATATGCTGGTTGAGGAAATTTCAGTTTTGGAATTTATACTTCTGGTTGTATCGCAAGAACAATGCTGTAGTATTCTTTCCTCTCTCTTCATCCTTATGACTAGTCCTTGTGAAATTTTCCCATGCTCGGTGGTTTGACATTTCTGTGAGAATTTAATATTTTTTTGAAAGAGAATTTATATACATTTATGTCCATTTATATGCATTCTCAATATGTAGAAGCTAAAAGTTAAATAATATTCATGCCTGTGTTAAGTCTCAGGTATAAAGATATTTACAATAAATGCAGCACTGAGTGATTCATGAAGAAGCATCATTGTCCTAAACAATTAGAAATAAAGGACAGCCACAGACATCGTAATGTTTGTCTAATCACTGCAATGCACAGAAAAAAACTATTACAGGAGTCTACTGTGGGTGCTACTTTAGACAATTTTCTAAAACATAAATCACTATCACAAACCTATGTTCTTTGATTAACCATCTGTTTGGAAAGAAACCAAGCCTGACTTTTAATTCTTAGTGTCAGTTGCCATGTACTGTATTTGTCAAGCAAGCAGAGTGGTCAGGTTTTGTAAATGTTGGTATGTATGAGAATAATTTATAGTTTTTCTCTGCATACATTTTTGAAATTAACCGGTATCACCTGTAAAGCCAATTGTGTTAACCCGTTAAACTCTGAATGAGCTTCTTTACCCTGATCCAGAGCAGGAGGAGAAGAGACATGTCTGAGCAAGTCCTTTTGGCAGTGACAGTGCTGTGTACATAGCCGTTCCCTGTTATGCTTTCAGTCTGTGACTTTTCACTTAGTTACAGAAGTAGCTTGCCTTTTTTTTTTCTTTTCCTCCCCCTCCAGGGCACTGATTGACTCAATCAGGTATTAAAAAATAAAAATGCCTAGGGAGATATTTTTTCAGGTTGTTCAACAAACATATTCATCCTTTATAGAGAGAATATTTGTTTTGATTATTAAGTCTGGTTAGCATTTTATAACCAAACTTTAAATGAAAAAATACTGGATGCTAAAAGGTTTGCCTTTTCAGCTTTTCATATAATGCACTGTCTATGCTAGCTAGTAGATTTTTTTTTTACATCTGCCACATACTCCAAATACGTTTTATTTTTTCCCACAGTGTCACCAGTTTGTGTTCTTCCAAAAACCGTATTGCGATTGTGAATACCTTGTGTAAATCACCTCTTTTTTCTAAATGTTCCAACTGTCTTTTTAAAATATAACATGCTGTCTGTTACTCTTAATGAGATCAGGCCATATGTATATTAGCAAGCATGTGGTGCAGTGGGCGTAGATGTGTAAAGGAAAGATTTAATGCTGAGGACTGGAAGTTCTTATAAATGCTTCGAGAGGTTTATTTTTGGACTACAGTACTCTGATCCCATGGAGGGCACATACGTTAACAATTGTCATGTGGCAGGTGTGCTCTGGAAGCACAGTCTTCCAGTTAAGTATAGTTTGAAAGGAATTTGGTTTGCCTCCCCCAAGACCAATCTGGGATGCAAACTAAAGCATGGGAAATGGAGAAGATCAAACTGATGTGCTGGTACACTCGCTCCCCTCTACCCCCTTCTGTGCCTTTTCTACTGAACCTTTATTTTGTGTTTCATTGCTGTGTGTATTCTTTCATTGGAAGTCACCCCATCCCCAGTCTGTACCCTTTTTAGTGTCTTGAGATGGCTAGAAGTTTACAAATTATTGTTTTAGGTGGAAATAGTCATCACCTTTGTCAGAACAGCACAACAGATAGTGTTGTTCTATATTGCTGACACATTACTTATAATACAAAATGGGGTGAGTTTGACTTCTAGGGATGTCAGTCATAATAAGCAGTGTAAAGTGGGTAACTTTATAAATATCTTTATTTTTTTCTTCTCCCTATTTGTATATCTTTTTTCCACTATCATACCTTCTGGTTTAGGGTGTTCGTTGTAAGTTTTTAAAAGTCACCCCTAGTATATGAACACTTCCTAGTATGTTCATGAACATGATCATGTTTGTTCTGAAATTTGAGACTATTTTTCTTAAGAGGATCCTTTAAGGAGCTTTGTTATGCAACAGCATATTGCCTAATAGTATGGGCTCAGAAATATTAATGATTCAGACAATTTCTTCTAAAGCAATTGTGGTCTCTGTGAGTCACTGAATTAAGGTTTTTCTTCTAAGTAAAAAAAATAAAAATAAATAATGTATGAATATGTTGTCACTAAACACATCTGTAGAGGCCTTGTTGCAGATAAGTACATCACCTATGATGTAGTTTTTACTGATGAATGTTGTTATTAAGTGTTCAGTTCCTTCATTATATTCTTTATGGATTAAATTGCTAAAGCCTTTGTTTTCAGTAATCAGGAAGTGCTGGGAAAACTTAGTTAGAAACTTGAAATAAATCTTTCAGTTGAAAAGGTCTTCAGTTGAAAATGCAGAGCAGAGACAGAAGAAGATATGATGATTCTTTGTCCTTCAGATAAACTTTGACATTTCAAAGACATGAGGGTTTTTTGACAGAGAAACTGAAAGCAGAATTTAGAAAAGAATTGCACTGCATCCTGCCTGCAGAAAATTGATAGGAGATGAGTATTCCACTTCTTTTGCTCTTCACATAAGTGAAGAATTATTTGAACAGTTTGATGAATGGAATAAAATACATATTTTGGCATTTAATTTTGGGCATTGTCAGAAGCTGTCTCTATTATCTGTTTACTTGCAGTGTGAATTATTTACTTTTCAAAAGGATGGATTTGACTAATTTGCTGTATCCTAAAGTCAATGAGTATAGAAAAGACATAATTCTAAGGCCTCGTTTTCTTCAGGGCTAAGTCTAGGTGCTTATATGGGATCTTTGTTTTTGCAAAATACTGAGTCAGCTGCTACTTGAAAAATAGTGCCATTTTCACTTCCATGAATTATGTTCCAGTTTTCTGTTCCATATTAATTTTTCATGTACCTTGGCTGATTACAGTTGTAAAAATACTTACATCTTTATCGGAAGATTCTGTTTTCTGAAAGCCCAGATTTTATTATATATTGAGAGAGAGAGAATAGTGAAAACAGTAACAGCGTTGAATGCACTAGTAGGAAACCTAGGTTGTTAACACAATGTATATTAAATGCTGACGATACTGTTGTGGAGTTTCTTTTGCCAGTTCCTTTTTTTTTGAAATCACTACAGGATTAAAATTGATGGAAGACTTCTCAGGGCTATTCTGAAAGCAGGGCTCTTGTAAATATCAACCCATCTGTGGCTGAAAGGAATTGAGTAGATAGTTCAGAAGGACAGTCTGATGTACTTGCTTGCACATGCCTTTGTTGGTGGTTTACCTTGCTGAGGACAGACTTCAAAGCAACTGATACTTAAATCATTATCAGAGGAACAAGTTTTTACAAGGAAATGAGAGCTAAACCGTTTGCTAAATTTGATCAAGCCAGAGTGTTTCCTTGCCAAATGAATACTCAGAAAAGACAGGTGTACTTCTTTTTGGAAAGTATGCAATATGCATACATTATATACATAAGTATTCTCTCAGGTACATGATGTAAATCTTGGGGTTGTCCTGTGCAGGCTCGGGAGTTGGGCTTTGATGATCCCATGGGTCCCATTCAACTCAGGATGTTCTATGATTAATATAATTGTTACTATTTTGGGATAAAATCCTTATCCAAGTAATGGATAAATCAAGCACTATTAAATAAAATGTTCTATGGAGTTTGTAGCATAACCTTTTAAATATCCGAAATGTTAAAAACATTCTAGTGGGGTTAAATTTTCCTAGTTTGCTGAATTTATGTTTGTTATTGTCTTAGAAATTAAAGAAATAAAGCAATTTGTGTGAAATCTATTGTTCAAAGGCCCTGACTATTAGGACATGATTTTCTTTACTGAGGTGGGTTAGATGGGTTTTATTCTTTAATGATGCATGTGTTGCTTACACAGACTGGATGAAGACACTTCTGTGCAGCAAGTGGCATAAGAAGTGTAGCTTTGTGGCCACCAGTTCAATCTAATTAGCAGTTGGAGTAAAACCCAAGTATTTTCCAATAAGAATGTTGATTTAGATGAGTTCTGGTCTTATTGGGAGTTGTTTCAGTAGCACCCAGAGATTTTGTTTTGAGGTGGTTTCCAGCTGCAATCATTTCCAGTGCAAAGGAGACATTTGGAAGGTTGGGAGTGAGAGTTACTCTTGAATCTGTCCCCTCAACTTGTTTGTTCTGCATTTCACTCTTCTATTCTTTATTCTTCAAGAACTGTTTAATGCTTGGCAAAAATTAGTGAAGCAGATAAATTATTTAATGCTTACTTGTGAAGTAGGGTCTTTGGTACAAGTGAATTTCATTTCTGTCCCAGAATGGATGAAGTCCTAGCTTTGTTAATTGTTTATTGTGCTTTCAGTGATTTTACAGAACTATTAACACCTTGACCTTGTCATTGAAATTATGGTTAATATTGATTTTCTTCTGAAGTAGCCTATGTAATTAAGGATTCTGGAAGGTATTCCTTTATTCGTTCTCTACATTTGTACATCAAGTACAAATACAAGCCATTTCCTTCATGCTGGTTCAGTCAACTGTTCAAAAATATGCTCAATTTGAATAAAGGTAGAGGCACATGAAATTAAATTGTTGCTCTGACTTTATTGCTGTTTCAGTCTCTTAATACTTTCAAAATACAATCAAAAATTGATACAAATATGTAGCCCTGTCTGGCTAGTACAGTTGAGTTCTGTGCCTGCTTCTAGAACAGCTTGGCTGGGATTTTATTAGTGATTTTTTTCCACTTGTAAGCATCCCAAGTTACTAATAAATGTTTCTACTCAGTAGTGGTGTTCTGTGATTCCTCTCCACATTTTTTCCCCCCTTGTTTTACATTAATGCTGGCATTCACTGCCAAAGTCTTTCTCTGTACCTTCCTGTAGCAATTGGAAAGTTACCTCATCCACCCTATTTCCTCTCATTCCCAAATCACAGGAATAATAGGATAGTATTTTACTGTAGACTGCTTTCACGGACTTCTCTCCTTTCACATCTGCTTACTCAGCGTGATGCTTAAAGAGATGTAGTGTGTTCTATCAGAGGAAACAGCTCAGTCTTGCGACAACTTCTTGAAGGACAGCATGCCAAATATTTGTCACTCTGCCTAGACTGAGTTAGTGTTTCATTAGACTCTAAACCTTTACCCACTTTTTCCAAGTTGTTTTAGCAAAACAAATTTATAACATTGTGTCATCACAAATTAAATGTTTTCTCTAGGTTAATTGAAATAGTTACTACTTGTCCTCACCACTGTCCACACTGACATTTTGTTCACATTTTGCATAGTTTCAAGCTGTTCTGCTTCTGTATTACCTTTAAATATTTCCATTTTCAGTTTGTCTATGATGACAGTTTGCAGATGACCACTGTTTTTTATCTGTCAGTACTGTATCTGTTGTTTTATTGTAGCTATTGTGATTCACTTCAATATGTTAAATATTTTATGTATTTTTTTCAGACCCATTAATCTGAAACCAAGGTAATATTCATTTTCTATTCATGTTAAGCAGATAGAAATTGTATCAGTTGTTATTCAAGTTTTCTCTTCTCTACGCCTTTAATCTTGGCTGGAGAACTAATGTCATGTCCTGAAATAAATATTTCTTCTTAATTTCAACTAAGGTACTATTTGATATTTGGACATTTGCTCATCTGGTACTAGCAATGTATTTTGTTGCACACAAAAAGCTAAAAAGATTAAATACATCAGAGACCACCATTTATGAGACTTTTAAAAGACAATTATTTTTTCCATCATGGTTTCGTTTTATTGTTGAATAAGTAACAATGTGCTAGAGAAGACTTTTGACTGACATAAATTAGTGTTTAAAGCTTCTGCTGTAAAACTGGGCCTTTATGAGTGATCTGAATGAGAAAGGGGAAAAATTTCTGTATATTAGGAGAAAGACAGGAATAAGGAAGAGCTGAAACACGTTGCAAAGACTGGAATAGGAAATGAAAGCAATCTTGTGTTCATTCTAGCTTCTTGAAGGGAAAGAGTGATAAAAGGATGAGGAGGAATAGTGGAGGCACATTTACCTTGAAGAAAATATTTATGGGGAATTGTGCCTGTTGCTTACAGAGATTGCCAGTAACCATGAAATTGTTGGGAACTAGCTGATATGGGCGTGCTTATGAACATGAACTGAAACTTGAAATGTTGTGTGGGATGCAGTGGTTTTTCCTTTGATTGAAGTCTAGCAAACTGCTCTGGTAAATGTGAATGCTAACTGTAAGAGATTGCCCTACTGCCAGTGAAAAATTTATGAAAATATTCAGCGTCATGGTATTTGAGAGATACACATCAGAGCTATGAAGCTGCTCCTATTCCCAGAAGCTGTTATAGAAGCTCAAGTGCTACTAAAGGGTCAGGAAAATAGTTCTGGTCTCTACAACAACTTCTGTTCTTTGAAATACAACACACTGGAGATAAACACAGCATTACATACCTGATCTTGCATTTTCAGAAGACATCAGAGATAATAATCTGAATTAATAGTATATGACTAAAATTTGGATATTTTTGTTGGAACCTTTTTGTAAATATGGCTTTCTTTAATATCTTGACTTCAGTTGTCTAGTATGTTTCCGTAGAAGATCTTCAGGAAAATATGAACAATAATTTTTAAGTCATCTATGTGGTTCTTTAGTAGCAAAAATTAATTTCTAAACACAAAAATACATAATGACCTTCTTAAGTTTGGTTGCTCATGAGGCCCACTGAAGTCCTGGAGTGGAAAAGTGGCATTTAAAGAAAAAAGTCACACTCTTATATTTGTGTGATTTGTGGTTATTTAATAGAGCAGCTGTGTTTGCCTGAAAAGGTGTGGCTTCTCCAAGTGAGGAGGATTCTGGTCACAGGGATCAGCTTGAAGAGGAAGTTGAGGAGTCAGTGTTCTTTCTACATGACAGGAAAACTGAAGTGGATTATGAGTCAATGACTTGGGGTAGGAAGAAATTATTTCTGTATGCTTTTCCAGTAATAAATATATTTTAAGTTCATTATACCATTATCACACTTGGATTTTTTATCAGGGCCTGTTGTGATATGGCAAGGAGAAATGGTTTTAAACTGAGGAGGATTGGTTTTGATTAGATACAAGAAAAGTGGGTTTCTTACAGTGAAGATGGTGAAACACTCTGGAACAGGTTGTCCAGAGAGGTGGTGGATGCCCTACACTTGGAAACATTCAGTGTCAGGTTGGACGGGACTTTGAGCAACTTGATCTGGTTGAAGATGTCCCTGCTCGTTGCAGGGCCTTGGACTTGATGACCTCTAAAAGGTCCCTTCCAACTCAAACTGTTCTATAATTCTACTTGTTTAAATCTGGTGAAAACAAGACCACAGGTTCATTCAATAGAAGATGAAATTCACTTTCTTTATTTTTTTGAGATCAATTTAAAAACTAGACAATTTTCCATATAATTAAAGCCTATTGATGGATTCAGCTGTTTACTTTCGTAAAGAAAAAGGGAGGGTGTCAGAAGTTCACACGTCAGAAGTACCTGCATGTATGAGAAATTGCTGATAGAAGTAATTGAGTAGTAAAGGCTTGGTAAGTTCTACCAGTTGGATACCATGGCTCTACACATTAATGGAAAAAAAAGAATATATGACTTTTACCCTGAATTAAACAATAGGGTTTTATTCAAAACTTTTAACTTAAGCCATCTGTTTCTAAAAGATGAGCTTTAACACAAACAAGAGTTTTGAATTTGAGCTAGAAATTACTGGGAACGATTCTATGGCTTTTCTCAAGCATGAACAAGGACTAAATAAGCAGTGGTCTTCTGTAATTTAAAAATAATTCAACTTCTTTTCTTCTAACATAATAATCTAGTGAATAGTATTTCGTGCTTAAAACAGTGTTGTTTCATCTGATAGGCATAAATAGCATGTGCCTATGTAAGGTGTACTAGTCTTTACCTGAAGTTGGTGGTGCTCCATTATTTCTGTTAGGAAACTTTTAAAAGACTATGTTTGTAAGTTAATAAAAGAATAGAGGCTTACTGTTCTCCAGAACAGTAACAATTCATAGAATTGCTTTATGGTGATGAGTGTGGCAGGTCTCATGTGGCCACTTTGCAGGAATACAGGTCTTCGTATTTGTGATAAGTGTGTTGTTTTCTGGATAAGTATAAAATGCTTATTTAATAAATTAAGCAAATGAATTCCAAAATTTATTTTTTATTACTGTTCAATTGGAACATAAATATTTGATGCAAAATCTTTTTTTTTTTTCAGATATTAAGTCTTAAAACAGGTACTTGTTTTCAAGAAGTACAATGGACGATAAGAAAAAAGTTGCTAACAGCTCTTGCGATGATGGATTTCTACTTAGAATGGGCCTTAATGATAACAAAGCTGGAATGCAAGGTTTGGATAAAGAGAAAATCAATAAAATCATCATGGAAGCTACCAAGGTCGGTGTGATTACGTTTTTTGTATATTTTATCTGTGGTCCAGTATCATAAGGCCCTCTTCCTTCCCCAGATTTTATCCCTCATATCTGTATATAGAGGGCTTCTTCTTAGGAGAAAGGCATGTGTTGGGAAGAAGGGGAGGGATTGTAGCTTAGTGTCACATAGGGTATTGTTGGATTCACCCACAGGGAAATGGAGGAATACAATTGTGTATGTCCTTAAGTACTCCCTTTTTGTCCAAAGCAGTACCTAAATGTCACAGCATTTTGCAGAGGTAGTTGTGAAGGTTGCAGCTTCCTTAGGCCTCTTGTTTTGCCTTTTTCTGTTCCTTTTGTCCACTCCATCATTAATTAGCCAAGCAGATTTACTTCTATTGGTCACCTTCCTGTAACTGATGAATTTGATGTAATTAGGTTTTTGTAGTACTTTCAGTAGAATTTCTTGGTGTTCATTGCCTGTCTTCTTGACTGTCTTCTCAGTATTCAAGAGAGGTGGCCAGTAGTGTGCAACTTTGTACCAAAGATCCACAGAGAACCCCACAAATCTGCAAAGCATTGAAATATTAGCCCTCTTAGTTGTTCTTCAAGAGTTCACATAGGACAATATAGGGATAACACTTTATTTGATCAACTCTGGGTTTTCTTCTCCTTGATCAAGTGGGTATTTCCTTGGGTGTCACTATGGCCCTAAAGTAAGTGTTTGATGTTTTGCTCATGAATTGTGTGTTGACTACTATTGCTCTGTGGCAGACTGCAAGGGCAGGGCAGGGGGGGAACTAAACACGCTGCAAACAGCTCTTATTTCTCAAACTTGTTTTTGTGTGTGTGTGCAATTTCACATTGATCATACTTCATATGCTATCAAGCTCCATTTTACTTAGATGTTTCTTGTACTTATTCTGTATGCTCTTTCTTGAAAACAGTGCTTTGTCAGACATATTCCAAATAATGATGTTTGCATAAATTATTTCAATAGCAAAGTTACTGTTTCATTTCCCGGTGTGAAATAGAATTAACTGTAAAACAAACTTTTAAAACTGACTTACAGGCATGTGTCCATTAGAATATATTTCTGTGCAAACAAAGCAAGAGAGTATGAATACCAGATACACCTCAAGAAATCTGAAAAGAAGCATTGATTCTTTTTATTAAGCTTTTCTATAGTCTGCAAAATGACACCTACAAACATTAGCCACAACTGTATTAGAGAAAGATTTTATGGCATTTCAACTGTGAAATACCACAAGAGAAGCAAAAAAAGCCTGCAACTTAATAATAATCTTAAGTACTGGGTTGCTTCCCACACCTGTATTTTGCTACTTATTTCTTTCAATGAGTCTCAACAAGTCATGTTTGATTGCAGAGGGAGAAAAGATAAAATGCATGTCTGATACTCAAAGAAAACACCCCCAAATTTCTTGTAATCAGAGATTTCTTCTAAACAATGAGACATGACACTACAGTCCTACCATTCATCTTTTTTATCATTATTATAAAAGCAGATATTTTTGCTTTTTGTATAAACACCTTATTCTTACTTGACTGTGGCTGAATTTTTGGTATCTCTGACAGTTTGGTAGTCAGACACTTTAAGCTAAAAATTTGTCCACTTTTGCAGATTTTACCAAATAGCTCATTAAAAGACATTACCTTTTCCTGCAAATGTTATTTCCCTTGTAAGCTAAGCAGATTTTGCAAGAAAAATATTTTTCCTCGTTTTGAATTTTCCTCTTTTCTATTTCATTGTATGCTCTCTTTTCTTTGCTATGAGTCAGGAAGGGAAGTCACATTATACATTTTGTACACGATTGTTGTCTTTTTTTGTCTTCACTTCATCTCCTTTTATTTACGCCTTTTGAAGGAGCAATTAAATACTTGAGAGCAGCAGGACTTTTTTATAACCATTTGGTTTTGATCATCCTCTTCCAAATAGCTTCTAATTCTGCAATGTCCTTCAAGATTAAAAGGTCAACAGAATACTCAATGTAACAAGTGAATTTGACTTACACAATGTCGTTTTGTATTTCCATATATATTAAACTATATGGAAATCTGGCAAAATGCTTAAATAAATTTTTATTAGTTTTATACTCCATACCTTGGAGGTGTTGCAAAAAATAGTTTGACTTTTATCTACTCTTTTTGAATTTTTGTTGTCAAGTGTTAGAATGAGTAAACATACAAAGTTCTCTAAATATGTCCCTTATACTCATTTAAGTATAGGGGCTCTGAGAAGGAGAGATATATTTGTGTCGTTTGAAGTGAGAGATGCAAAGAACCACTGATCTCTTTTCTGTATCGTTTATATGAAAATCCAAAGAATGCATTAGAAACCATTACTGTGTTTTATGTTTTCTGTGTTTAAAGATCAGATATGGTTGCTTAAAGGAGAAGACAAATAAAAACCTTAGTGTTTTTGTGATTTTCTTTCAGGGTTCTAGATTTTATGAAAATGAACTTAAAAAAGATCAACAAGTTAACCAACGAATTGAAAAAATGATGCAGCTAAAAGAGAAAATTACAACACAACAGCTCTTGAAAGCACAACTGCAGGTACTAATCTTGTAGAAGTTTTTTGGAGTAAATGTCAAATCATAAACGTTATGGTGTTTTCTAGTTTATTGCATTAAATTCTAGTGGAAGGCACAATGTTAACTACTGTTTGGATGTTAGACATTCAAATAAAAGTGCACAATGTTTTGATGATGTCATCTTAATAAAAAACTCGCTAGAGGAACAGATTGCAAAATCTCTCCAAAACGTTCTCCTTTTCTTCTGTCTGATCAGTTTAAAGTAATTTATGTAAAGATTTGTTAAATACTTTGTTAATAAGTATCATATCAGTCTTGAGTTTTAGAATATATGTATGTTTGTGTTCAGCGACCTCTGATGGAATGAGGGAGATTACAGTTTGGAATACAGAATTACTGACTTCCTCATAGAGTTTTCTATGTTGTACACCACATGCTGTGAATTCTTAATTCTTGCATTACTCTAGAAAAGTAGTATTTTTTTTTTTGGTTTGTAGATTAGGAGGGGCCCCCTGGTGGTCTAGTGGTTGGGTTGCACCGCCGCGGCCCGGGTTCAATTCCCGGTCAGGGAACTCCCCCGGGCAGATGGAGCTCGTCAGCCCTGTAAGGCCATCCATCTAAGAGAAGGTCACTCTAAACAAACCTACGTCCTGAGGACCTCACTGCCACTGTCCGAGCTCGCTCGGCCCCGGCAGATGAACCTCAGGATTAAAGGGTGGGCTCAGTTCAGCGCACACTGTGTCTCACCTAAAAAATCCACTGCGCAGGCTCGAAGGGTAATGACCTTTCCCAAATCTTCATCCGCGAAGACTGGCCATGATGATGATGATGATGATGATGAGATTAGGAGCTGAAGCACATGAAGATTAGACACGTCCATTAATTTTCAATGCCGTTGTGAGGATTATGGGTTGAGCTTCTTATGGTGTACAACCTTCTTTGTTCATTACAGATTTGCAAATCTCTTCTGTACATGAGATGCCAGGGTCTCAAATTTGCGCTCAGAAAAGCTTGCAGTTCTGAGTACCTCAGAAAAGTTTGTTGTTAAGTCTCTATGCCACAATGGTTTTTGGTGAATCTTTAGCATAGATCAATTATGACTCTGCTTGTACAATTGCTTTTTTCAGTTAACTGAGATAGCTTTTAAGTCACTTAATTACAGAAAAAAATACTTTCATTTCTATCCTACCTTCACCACAGAACTATTTATTTTAAAGAGAATAATCTTTCTTATAAAATAAATTACATGAATGACTGGAATCTTATATATAATACTAATGTATAGTTATGTCATGAAAAAATATGTAGTGCACATAGTGGAAGCCAATGAATTTGTATTGCTTTGTCTACCTTCCTGTTGGCCTTTTCTGAACTTGGTTCTTTGATCTTTTAATATAATGTTATATTCTTTTAATATTTCTTATGAAAACTGGTTTCTATAGGAAAAAAAAGGAAACTTAAAAAGAGAAATTCTCTCATATGGGTCTTACTGGGACCCAAGTTTGAAACTCCGTTTCAAGTATCAAACTCCAAGTTTGATATCTTTATGGTACTTGCTGAAATAGCAGTCATCCTTATTTCCAATGGAGACACTGTAAGGTCAGCTGTCATACTTCATGAGAACTGTCATTAGAGGGTATAACATGCACACTTCTTTACTGGCTAAGTTTAGATCTTTGCAGCTACAAAAAATCTTGAAATCTTGGATTTTGCTGTCTTTCTTACCAGTAGAATGTGTGTATACCAAGGAATTTGTGAGGGTATTCCTCAAATTTTAGTTTTCCTTACAAGGCCATCTTTTCAGAAGGGCACTTACCACCATCGATTTTGCAAATATTGAAGATCAGAAAGGACTTGTAAATCTTAAAACTGGCATTTCGGCATACAAATGTGGGGGTTTTGTTGTTTTTGTTTTGTTTGTTTGTTTTGGGGGTTTTGTTTGGGCTTTTTGTTTAGGTTTTTTTGGTTGGTTGGTTGGTTTTGATAATCTTAAATGTAAATGGGGTTTGAAGTTTTCCTCATGGATGTAATTGTAACATTTTAAGGGAAATTATATACTGTACAGTATCATGTAATTTTTGGAAGCTTTTCTGTAACAGATTATCTAAACAGCCTAGAGTGGAACTGGTTGAAATTCAGCAATAGTTAATAATACTTTAAAAAGTATCCAGCTACTACCAGATTTGGAAACTACCATACTGTTGTTTGCTATTTTCATCCATGTTGGTTTTATCCCAGATGTTTATTCTGGGATAAATAGTTACTGGGTAAATAGTTACTATTGTCTTGCTTTTGTTCACTCTTCTGTCATGCTTTGAAAACTCATATTTTGTATCATAGGGTAAGGAAGGAGAGATTACTCTTCAAATTGTCTAAAAGTCACTGTAAGCAAAATTAAACTTCTAATTGCAGTTTGTACTTTTTAGTTTTGGGTATTTTTTATCTAGCTTATAAATAAATTTTTAAAAGTATCTCTTTTTATCTTCAAAGGATAATTGAAAGAAGCTTTTAAAAACTTACCAGCCTGGTTTACCTCTAAGGAATTACTCCATAACTTTTAAGGAGATGTTTGTAGGTTCCTAGTGTTCTCTGGGTACATTTGGCTGGGTTTTGTTATGTAATATTGCTTGTATCAGTTTCTTTTGCTGAGGAGCTATCATTTTGTTTAGTGTAATTTTGCTTCATTGTTTAGATGTGTTTGTTAGCTGATCAATAAGTAGCATGTTAGAAATATATTTGGGGGAGGAAAAGCAAAAATAAGTTTTTGTTATAAATGTGACAAATTGAAATGCAGGAGTTGTGTAACTAGAGTAGCAACTGACAGTATTAATTGAACAATTTGAATTTGAGAGTAGCCTGATAATTATCTGCAGAGTATAATTTAAAATAAGGATGCTTTTGATAATTATAGTGTGACATAAAGCTCTGTTGAATTAGTAGCATAATGAAAATAATGTAAATACTCCACTTTTTTTTTCAGTTGTTCATTTGAATGGCTTTCCTCCTGTGCTTTTAATTTGTCTAAACCAGTTTTCTCAGCCTCAGAGAGCACACTGTACTCTTCTGTATGGAGTAGCCTAGTTTAAGGCCCCATTGTAGCCTTTTATCCCTCAAATCAAGTTGGAACAAAACAAAGAAAATACTTTGTAAATCATTAATCAGCAATTTAATTAGAACATTCCAAGCTCACTTGGCTTGGTTCAAGAGTCTTGAGCTCGAAAGATGGTTTTTTTGGGGTAAGATTTTTATGGTTTTTTTATTAGGCAGCTCTGTTGACAGAAGGAAAAAAAAAGTCTTCAAGTGACCATGAAAATTGCATGTGAACATTCCTTTTGAGGACCATAAATGCATTGCAGTCAGTCCAGAGACATTTCTGTAATGGTGCCTTAATGTCATGAGTTTTTGTGTGTTCTTGTGTCTGCAAGCAAATTGAAACTTTGGTTCCTTTTGCTAATTCCGTTTCTTGAGATCTATTATGCCTATCATTTGATTTTTTACTAGCAGTGTCAGCCTTTTGTTGTGTAAATCAAGGTTACCATAATCATTAATGTGGTTAGATAATCATATTTTAATAGCTTTCTTTTTTTTTCTGTATTTTCTCTTTCTTATAGAATGATATGTGATACTGCCAAAACAGTTATCTTAAGTCAGTAGACCTTAAAAATCTCCTGTCAAATAATACACTCATACTTTCTCATGACATGCACAGTTCATATCTAATTCATAGCTGAACACTATTTCAGGAACAAGCACATGATCTGCATGACTTTTGATAAAAAAGTGCAAGCAAATTAAGCACAATTAACGTATTTCAAAGAGCTATCTGCATCTTGGCCTCTGCCTCACATTGCCATGGAGCTGATAAAGCAGTACTGCTCACAGTCTACTAGTAGAGATACATCTTTACCATTTGGAGTGAAACACACTTTGTGTATAGGCTTTTCTTTAAAAACTTTGTAGTTTTCCTGGCAATCTAGCCTCATATGATATGAATTCCTCTAACACATATTGAGGAATTTTATTGAGGGATTGACAGTAGCTAACTTAGCCATAAATGAACCTGTTTGAGACCTTATTTCTGACAAGACAGGATGGTTGTGTCCTATGAGCTGCTGGTCTTCACCTTTCTAGGCAAATTTTTTGAAGTGCGATAGCTTTATTTAGGAGTGCTGGAAATTCTATAATAGCATGTTTTCATTTTTTAAAAATAACCTATGTCGCTAAAACGAAGTACTTCAACTAAAGCTGCATATTGAAGTTTCTGTCTGAATCAGCTACATCATCTGTTTTTTTCCACATGTAGGATTTTGTTGTTTGTTGGGTGATCTTTTGTGCTACTTTTGGGTGACATAGACTTAATTTTCTTCACAGTATCTGGCCTGGGGCAGTATTTTGGATTTATGTTGAAAATGGTCCTGATAACACAGAGATGCTTAGCTATTGCTGAGCAGCACTTGCACACAGCCAAGACCTTTTCTGTTCCTCGCCCCACCCCACCAATGAGGAGGCTGGGGGTGCACAAGGATTTGGGAGGGAACATAGCTCAGACAGTGTCCCTGACTGACCACAGCAATATTTCAGACCGTATGGCATCATGCTCAGCATATAAAGTGGGAGGGGAAAGAAGGAATGGGGACTTTTGCAGTTACAGCATTTGTTTGCTTAAGTAACTGTTACATGGGATGAAACCTGTTTTTCCTGGAGATGGCTGAACACTGGCCTGCCCATGGGAAGCAGTGAATGAATTCCTTATTTAGATTTGCTTGTGTACATAGCTTTTTTTTTTTTATGTGATAAATTGTCTTTATTTCAATGCATGAGTTTTCTTACTTTTACTCTTCTGACTCTCTCCTTCATTCCACTGTGAGGGTGTGACTGCATGAACTTAGTTGCCAGCTGGGGCTAGATGACAACAATTTTTTTTTCATTGAGTTTTTGGGCGGTTTTTGTACTAATTGCTGCAGCAGTGTTCTCTCTGGGAGCAAGTTTTGTCAGAAACTTTGTTGTTTGGGTTTTTTTATGCCAGTTTGTTAGTTTTTTTCCATTAACTATATGCAAGGTGCATATACTGCTGCACTTCTGCCAGGTTAGTTTTTCAGTTATTGGTTTCTTCTGTTCAGGTGGACAAACTTGTGGTAGAACTGGAACAGACCCGTAACCTTAGCAGTACAATTGTACACATTGACATGGATGCCTTCTATGCAGCTGTGGAAATGAGAGACAATCCAGAGCTGAAGGAAAAGCCTATAGCAGTGGGATCAATGAGTATGTTGGTAAGGCCATATGTTAAACTACAGAAATTGATTACATAAATCTTAAGCCTAATAAACCATAACAATAATAGTATAGTATAATGACACTATTATATAGAAAGTGTGAAAACCCCAAAAATAATAGAAAAAACAACTGTTCTTAGACTTGACCGTGTAAGGTGGATTTTATTTTGCAGTAAAAAGTGTACTAATGAAAATTTAAAGTATGTAAACAGTCTGAAAGGCAGGAGGGGGGAGGGGCAAGTGCATGTAAACTCTTAGCCTTGTCAGTCTTTTCTATGTGAAGATATGTGATTAGAATGTGATTCTTTAATAGTAAACTTTAAGAAGAATTTGATTACTGAACAGTAAACGTATTTATTCTCTCCTAAGTCCACCTCAAATTACCATGCTAGAAGATTCGGTGTGCGTGCAGCCATGCCAGGATTTATTGCTAAAAAGCTATGTCCACATCTAACTATAGTACCACTAAACTTTGAAAAATATGGCAAAGTGAGTAAAGAGGTAAGTCTGAAAGTACTCTCTAACCAAAAGTTGGTGTACTTGGTTTTAGACTTTATCCATAATATCAGTTCTAGATAATATGAAAAGTGATAGCTTAAATATTAAACTCTTCAGTGATGTGGCTTTAAATATAAGTTAAACAAAAAATTGGTGCTTTTGGGCAAGGGGATGAAAGAGCATTACATTCACCCATCTTACTGTTTTACTAGTTAGTAGTGCTGCTGATAGAGGTTTTGAAAACCTCTGCGTAGTGGTAGCACTTGAGCCTTATTATTCTTAGAAGTTCAAAACCATGAAGCATGATCTAATTATTAGGAAGTTGGAAGTACGTAGGAAACATGGAGATAATAATTTCATAAAATGCATAATCATAATTTTGAATACTAATTACTGGAGAGAGAAAAGCAAAGAACATTAGTGAGTTCTAAATGCAGATTTATTTTTTTTTAAAGAAGGGACTTCATATAAAGAGCAGAAGAAATAGGGAAAAAAAAATCATATTTTACCTTAATGGCAGTAGTTTACTTAGTGCCAGAGGAAATAGTTGGGTTACCCAAAAGCCTGGTTTAAAAAAAAAAAAAAGGAAAAAAGATCTTTTGTATGTTTTAAATGAAACCAGTGCATGACACAAGTCTCCTGACTTCCATAAAATTATGGAAACTTACTCATTTATTTTTATGAAGCCTCAGTTTCTTCACATACAAAAAATAAGGTTGATCTTACTTGATTTTTTTCACTTCTGTAAAAGAAAGCATATATAAATATGAGTATTTCAGAATGGATTTGAACTTGGTAAGGATCTTGGATTTCATGTTACATATTTCATTTGTTGTTTGATAAGGTAAAGTATTAAATTTTTTTAATTTCTCCTAAGTCCACCTGGAATTACCATGCTAGAAGATTTGGTGTGTGTGGAACCATGCCTGGATTTATTGCTAAAAAGCTATGTCCACATCTAACTATAGTACCACTTAACTTTGATTTGGATTTTCATTTACGTTTTTCTCTTGGGATTTGGATTGAAAATATTTAAATATATTTCATTTTGTCATTTAAAATCCAATAGTGAATCCTATCTTTTTTCAGTTTCAGAAAGATGAAGTGCATGTGAACAAACATTGTGATACCTAAGAATTTGATCCAAACTGATAGGAAAACACATGAGGCAGTCAGATTTTCCTCCATATTTTAAAAAAATGAGAGAGTAGAGAAGGTAGAGGTTTTATTTTGACCATTTATTTTACTATGTTTCCTTCTACTTATCATTAAAGATTTCCCAAAAAGTTTTAACTGTGGCATTAACTACTGCTCTAAAATACTGGCTATAACTTTAGTTTTAATGTAATTTAAAACTTAGATGTTTGCAGTTGATGGTGGATTTTTTTGACCCTTGCATATGTGGTATCTGACACACAGTGCAGAAAGATGCATCATCTGCTTTGCTGTTTCAGGTCCCCAGAGTTTTATTCCCATGCTTACTGCAGTGTCAGTGAACCTGGAGTCCTTATGCACTGATCTTAGTGACCTCTGCAGTAAAATACACTGCTCTGCATCTGTTTAGTTCTCACTTACTACTAATATCTTACTACTTGTGAGAAGCACTACTGTAATTTTACAGTATGAAGAAATAATTTGTTCCTTAAGTATCTTTAATATTTATTGGTCATTCTGAAGTTTCGGAGTACATTTGTTCATGTCCTAATTGTGTGTCAAGATCTGCTCTTATAGCAGTGAGGCTTTAAACTTTCACTATGTGTTTATCAAGGTTAGAGAAATACTGGCTGAATATGATCCCAACTTTATGCCTATGGGCCTAGATGAAGCCTACCTGAACATAACAGAGCACTTGGAGGAAAGACTGAACTGGCCTGAAGATAGGAGAAGATTCTTTTTTAACACAGAAAACCCTACAGGTGTAGGTAAGCAAATTACTTTTCGTGTGGTCGCCTGACACTGAGATGACAGGCAGTTTCTTTTAGGGATTCTTGGCAGAATGATGATGGCACTAAATTGTAGTTAGGATTTAAGCTTTATTTTCTTAACAGGATTTAATTGTTAGCATGGTGTGGAATTTATTATTAGAATGGCAAAGGATTTCTGTAAGGAGAATCAGTGTAGTACAGTCTCTAAGTAGCAAAATAAAGAGTTTATAGTATAATACAGTCTGGACCCTCTGCAGATCGGGTTGGATCATAGCACATGGTTTGATGTATCAATATAACACTCTTAATCTAGACTCAAAAATCATATAAAAGAACACGAGTCCCTCCCTCAGTCCTCAGAGGAAGCAGACAATGGCAGAGGTGTCCCTGGACAGTGGGGGGTCCCAGATCTCTCTGTCCAGCAGCAGCTCTGGTACAAGTTCCCTCTCAGGACCCGCTGCAGGGGATTTTACAGACAGACAGTGCTCCTGGGGCTGAGAATGCTTCCTGGCACTGCAGCCACCGGGGTCACCCACAGGGATCACCCACAGCCCGGGCTGGCCCGGAGCAGGACCTGGGGGCGGGCACGGAGTGGAGTGATTGGCCTGGTGCCCAGGGACCCTGAGGCCAGGAGGGAGGGGAAAAAGATATCTGGTTTGTCTCCTTGGAGCACAGGACCTTCTGGGCCTGATAACGAGGGGAAGGGGCACAAACACGTTTCCAGAGAAGGGCTGCTCGCCTTGTGAAATGGCCTCAGTCACGATGACCAACCACGGTACCGGAAGTGGGGAGTGAGGAGTGCCGGTCACACATGCACATAACATAAGCTTCAGATATGCTGCACCCATTGGAAGTGTAAATACTTAGGTCCTTGCATATATTCTCTACCTCAGATTTTTAGTTAACAGGTCAACTTCCTCTATTGCTCACTTGTTAATAAAAGGTATACTGCTAATGATTTGGACTTGGAGGATATTTTTCTTTTAACGTGAGTAAAATGTGTAAAAAGTGGTACTGGGCTTTCTAAACCAAACTGCATGGTAAAACGGTTGAAGGATGCACTAACTGGAACATTTATATTATCAGTATTCAGAAATTATCTGAATAGTCATGAAGAGGATTATAAAGGATACACTACTGCAGAAAAGTATTAATAAAATAGAAAGCAGTGAACTGGCATGATCTTTACAAAATAAATATCACTGGTGTGTAGTCATGTGCTTCTTCATACTTCTTTGACATCTTTCTTCCTCTGAAACACAAACAACTGCTTGGAATGTGAAACTGTAAGTATAATGTTTGTAGAGTCAGACAAAAAGGACTGCTGAATTACTTGTTCTGCTATGACTGCAGTTGAAAACAAGAAGCTCACCAGACTGATAGTTCTAGAACCACATATTCCAGAAACCTAATTTTCTTTGGACAATATTGAAAAAACTTCTGCAAAAGATGTTCATTTCCACCAGAAAAAGAGAGCATCTGGCCTTCAATCTGATTTGAAACAAAAATAAAGCCAAAATCTTGATGGTTTTCAGCTGCTACAGCAACAGGCCATTAAATCTTTTTGCTTTTCTGGAAGTTATGTCCAGTCTCCTAGCTAATTCTGCCAATCTCAGCCAAGTTCAAAACATATTAAAAACAAAGCAGTTATGACTCTCATATCTTCAAACAAAAAAAAAGGCAATGTCTAAATAAAAGTAGAAAGAAATAAAACCACTAGTGAACTCTGCAGCTGCTGTAGAAGGAAATCAGGATGTTATATATGGATATATTAATCCTTTGTGTTTCTGTCTTAGATAAAGATGATATGAATATGTCTGACAAATTTAATGAGGGTGAATGCTCTTCTTCACCGGTACTGTTTGAAGACAACACATCTCACCTTAAACAAAGAAGTCAATCAGTAGAAAATTCAGTTGTCTTTGGTACTTCTGCAGAGGAAGTTGTGAAGGAAATTCGCTTTAGGATTGAGCAGAAAACTCAACTGACTGCTAGTGCAGGTATTCAGACACATATGAATAATAGTAAATCTTTGTATTTCCAAAATGTTTTCTACTCTTATCTCAGAGAGCATTAATTAAGAATTTAACCTTGCCACAGCATTCTTGCGCTGCAAAGAAATATGCTCTTTACATGTACATGCTCTCTTCTGCAAAGACTGTGACTTTCAGTTGTTTCAGATTTCACAGCTATTAAAGCCACTGCTATTTGTTTTCCTTTTTTTCTCTTTTTTAATCATTGAAACAGTTATCTTTTTGCTTCTTTCTTCTTGATATACAAGTAAGTAATGTGGAGAAATGACCAGTGCACCTGAGCTGATCTTAGCACAGGTGGTTGCTGTTTTAGTGCATCACGTAAATTGTTTCTGTCAGCCAGTGGGTCATAGTAAAATCTGTCACTGGTTGCTAAACTGCTCTTAATTTGAATAGCAGATCCATACTGTTATGTGTTTCTGACTTCTCCACACCATTCTTTGCTTAAGACAATATCAAAATTCATTAAAATGTTAGTTCTCAGAGAAGTAAATATGTGTTGAAGTTTAGTAAACTCTTCAGTAGCTTTTTAATATTTACCAATCAAATTTTATGTCTTGACTTCAGGCAAGCTACCTCTGAATCTCAAGTGTTTTGATTATAATCTGCATTAGGTCACTAAAACCAGTATATGTCCCTAGCCACAAAGTTTGGAAGCCACCCTAGTGCTTTGTGAACCAGGTCAGTGAGGCATCAGGGAATGCTGAGGTTTATGAAGCAGATGCAGAAGGCTAAGGAAATGTGAAATGTAAGCAGAGGTAACGAAACAGCTTGTAAGAGGAAGCTGGATGAGTCTTCCACCTATGTATAGTATCTCACGAGTGGTAGACAAATATCAGTTTTGTTTACTGAAATTTTGCCTTCCTAAGGATAAGTTTGTGTTTAGAAAACATAGGTTTTCTAAATGCAATCAGGGATCTTAAGCCCAACAGTGAAAAACAATTAGAAGGCTAACTGAAAAAATACTGATAATCAATAGTAAGTAGAATTATTTCTACTATCTTGAATAATGTTTTATCAGTGAGCAAATCAAAAGTTGGACCACTAGGACTCTAGCACACAGTTATTTTAGTTTTCTTGCTAAACCAATTCCAGAGTTCATTTGTAGAAACAGATACTTTGATAGAAAAGAGCCATCCCTCCTCATTCCTATCAGTGTCTGTGAAATGTATGTATTTCTAAATGACTACTTGCACTGCTAGCCCACAAAATACTAAAATTTGGTAAATTTTGTCAAAAAACTCTTTTTGCTGAAATACAAGGAAGAAAGATCTTCTCCTAAACAGTTCATTATAACTGCCATTGGAAGCATTTCCTTTGTCTCACCATAATCACATCATGCAAATGTTCAATCACGTAACTGTTGTTATTTTTAAGCACTTGGTATGTAACCCTTCATGACTTATTAGGGCATGTTATGTTATCCTGACTATCTTATAATAGGCAGTAAACTTTATCTGTTATATTTAATCTGCTACATGTATTTATATTCTCTGATGTCCATCTCAAAATTTTTTTTGCAGAATTATATCAAGTCTGGTTATCAGTTATTGTCATTCTTTTCCTTATTTTAGTCTTTGCCAAATATGTAGGCTGCTCATTTGCTTTTAAATATTTGACTGTTGAAATTAAACTCCATCTTGTATTTTTTAAAGGTGAGGTTTGTTTGTTTGTTTTTAAGGAATAGCACCAAATACAATGTTAGCAAAAATGTGCAGTGATCGTAATAAGCCTAATGGGCAATACAGAATTACTCCTGAGAGACAAGCAGTTCTAGACTTCCTAAAAGATTTACCCATTAGAAAGGTAAGAGACACTATGACATTTACTCTGCTGTCATGTATATTTTTTCTGTTCTAAAAGGAAAATTTCTACTGAAAGGATACAGTTTTCTAGGTAATCTTCCAAGTTGTGTTTGATTTAAATTGTTCTTGGTAATGGATCTACAAGTGGAAAGTTTCCATTATAATGTTACTTACTCTTTTTTAGGTGCCAGGCATAGGAAAAGTAACAGAGAAGATGTTAAAAGCCCTTGGAATTGTGACTTGCTCAGAACTTTACCAGCAGAGGGCACTGCTTTCTCTTCTGTTTTCAGAAATATCTTGGCGTAATTTCTTGGATATTTCCCTTGGTTTGGGCTCAACACATTTGGAAAAGTATGCTTTGGGGTTTTTTTCCTCCTATGTTCAGAATTTTCTAAATGTTTCTTTGTGTGTGTTACATAATGTACATTTTATTTTATTGACAAATATTATGGAAATATGGCTTGTTTAGCATATTTTTTAGTCTCTGACATCTGTTATTGTTATACTTATGGCTAAGATACAACAGCCAAACATGAAAAAGCAAAGGTTTGTATAGCCCTGTCTAAATATGAAATCTAAAAAAGTCTTGTCAGGGAAGTTGTACATACGTGTATATCAAGAAATCAGGGGAGGATCATTTAGGATAACCTCATAATTATCAAAATAGCTGAACAGAACTGAATTGCCCTAAGCAGAGGTGTTCACTCCTTTTTCCTTGAAAAAAACAATACACATTCATTAGTGTTTATTATTATCTGATTATAATGAAAATTGCATTGGTATTTGATCTTCTCTGGTAGTAAAATTGTCATATTTCTAATGAAAGTAAGTGAAGTTTATGTGTCTTCTATGAGGATTACATATATATTTGTAATATCAACATGTGAATTTGGTGGAATAGAACTGAAGATTTTTATATCCTTCTTAATATCCGCTCCTTTAAAGTTCATACGACTTTATTTGCTTTTAGCTTCCTGTTTAGGAGAAGTCAGTCTGACTAGTGAATACATCTCTTCAATAATATTTGTAATTTCTAAGCTTGTCCTGGATACAAGCACGGAGCACTTGTTCTTTTAAAAAAAAACCAGCAAACTGTAGCATTTTGTTGCAAAATAATATATACAGTTAACAGTTTGAAGCCCAGTAATGTGCTAGCACAAAAGTTTGTGTTGTTGGGTTTCTTTCTATTCAGAAGTATGTTGACTTGTAAAAAAATGTGCAGTAAGATTGACTTTGTAAAGGTGACTTGATAAAAGATAAAACCCAGTTTTCCAAATATTTGTTTCTGTTAATATATAAACAGACCTTGAATAGTCTTTTAATAGTTGGTGCACTCTTTCTCCTTATTCACCCTTGTTAGGTGTTGTAGCGTCTGGGCAATCTCCTAGTACATAAAAAAAACCCAAAAAAGTAAAAAAAAAAAAAAAAGGAAAAATAAAGAAAAAAGGAACATTTCAGAAGTCAAGGTTATTGTCATATGGAGAACACATTTTTCATGGATTTAATGTCTAAGAAATTTCTTCTTTTTTTTGCATCAACTTAATTTCAGTGATTTCAGTGTGGAGAATGCAAGCCTTTAACACAGCCTGAGTCCTCAGTAAATAGTTCATCTTATGGTTGTTGTTTCTGACCACCTTCTTTTAAGAAAATCTGAACATACCAAATTTGTTATTTCCAATACTTACAAACATACAAAAATACTTACAAAGAAGGACTTAAAAAGAAATTGCTCTGAGGAACTTCTTTTATGCAGAAGAGTTGTTAAAGGGTGCTCAACTAAAACTGAAAAGAAAGAATGCAACAAGAAAACCTAGCCTTAACACGTCACCTTTAACCTGAAGAATCATTTAGACAGAAAGCAAACTATTTCCTCAGATCCTCAGATAAAAAGATATTCAAATATACATGTATGTTCAGGATTTTGATAGCAGTCCTGTCACAGCGAGGTGTGACAGCATAGGATTTGTACTTAGTTTTGGTTTTAGATAAGACTCCTGATATAGGAGGTGAGTTGCAGGGTGGAGGGATTGTTTGGTTTTTTTACACAGTGTTTATTTTTATTGACATCTATGGCTGATCTATGTCTTTACTTAAATTACAGAAGTTTAAGGGTTTCCTTTTTTTTAAATCTCCATTTAACACTTGTTTAAACTGGATGTACAAGATTTGTAGAAAAAGTTAGCATCCAGACTTTATAGAAGAGATTGCTGTTACTTATCGAGGCATAATTGGTTGACTCAGAGTTTATTGAAAAGATAACAGTTCTATGTAAAGTGAGTATAATAAATTGCTTTTCTTTTTGAAGGGATGGAGAAAGAAAAAGTATGAGTACTGAAAGGTATGCCTTTTTAATATTGAGAAAAATTGCGTTCATTATGAAAACTACTAAATACCATGTAGTGTATACTTTTATTAGACGTATAATTTCATAATGTACTTATATGTGTTAAAAAACAACATATACAATAAGCTCACTAAATTAGATTCAAGCTTTCATTACTTTTTTCCCTTGGCTCCTGAATACTATGGAGATATTTTTGTCAGTGAGTGTGTTGTCTTTTCTTATCATCCGATTCTGCTAATGCCTTTAAGACATCAAAGTGATCATGAAGCTTAAAGATAGGGTGGAACTATATAAAGGCTTGAGTTTTTTTATATGTTCTAGTTTAATGTCAATATCAGTGTAATAGCCTGCAGTCACATGCATTTCCTTATTTTTAGGTTTCAGTTAGTGTAAAGTTCCTTAAAAAGTGGTGCTTGTTGTTTCCAGAAGTTTGTTTTCAATACAGAAGTGATGCAGGGAGGATCTGTAGAACACCTTAATAATTATCCCTACCCTCATGTGTTGTCTTTTCTTAGGAAAGATGGTAAGAAAAGATGCTTAGTCCTATTGAGACTTAGTAGTTGTGAGCAGCTGAAGTAAGCCCCATAAGATTTTGGTACCATCAAACGTGAGAAATTTATAGCTTTAGTCTTGTGCTGTTTTACAGGCTTTAGTCTTGTGCTGGTTTGCAGGCTGCTGAGATCATGAAACTAGTTTATATGGAGGGGAAGAGATAGTCCTCTCTATACTGTTCCTTCCAAACCTTGGACTGCAACATTGCCAGAATAGCACGAATTACTCCTAGGATAATGGTATGGGACCCACAGGGAAATATTAGTCCCATTAGTTTGGTAGCATGCAAACATTCTTAGGGGAACGTGAATGATAATAAGCAAAGCCTTTCCAATAGAATAGAGTAAATCTGAATATAACTTAGAGATGTGAAATCCAGTGTAACTATATGGACTTTGCACTTGTAAATATAAAGCCTGACATGAAAAAATGGATCTGTGAGACCTTTCCAAAAATATTTGCTGTCTAAGTTTTACTTCCCATTTCTCTTAAAACCACTTCTAACTGAAGGTTGCCTTTCATGTTGTTACTTAAAAGCAAATGTACAACAACAAAAAAATACTGTAATTTCCCTACTAAGAAGCTCTAGTAAAGGTAGTTGGCAACATTTTTGGCAGAAAGATAGCTTTTCCTCCTCTGAGGCTAGATGTAATTATCCTAGCTGGCATCTTTTTCTTAGCATCTGCATTATTTATTTCTGATATTTGGCTCTGATGTTGACTTTCAAATACTGAATTTCTTCTGATGTTACACAGTGTGTACAAAGGAGACTAAACTCAAATAACTTGGCTGGTTCTGTGAATTCATTTAGTGTTAGTATTCTGTCTTGCAAATATTTAAGCATTAATGACATTAAATCTGATACATTTTCAAATAATGCATGAAAAATTGAAAGCCAAATTATTTAATTATTTGAAGGGCCTTGCAAACATTTTGCAAACAAAATATTCCTACTAATAATAACTTTTCCTTGAAGTAAATGCTCAAACCTATACAACATTCTTCTGATGTAGTTTAGCTTAACTGTACAAAAAATATTTTTAGATTGCAGCCGGTTATATATGAACATATAGTAGGATTCATACTGAAAAAAGATCACATCTTTGTCTTAGAACATTCAGTGAAATAAACAGAGCAGAAGACCAGTACAGTTTGTGTCGAGAACTCTGCAGAGACCTTGCTCAAGAGCTACAGAAAGAAGGACTTAAGGTATTTATATTATTCTGATTACTTCAAAAAGACTCCAACTTATTAAATGCAGCTTTAGTGTAAATGCTTTCAGCAGCATCGTATCATGCAGTCTATCTTCAGAAGTCTTCATTGTTTCATTTACAGATGTTTAGAATGATGTAGGCAGCATTTTGATATTGTGGAGGTGTATATCTAATAATATGTGTGGGAAAAAAAATTAAACTTATTAACCAGTTACTTAGCATATAAACATTTTTTGCTAAAAGCAGTGTTTGTTTATGAGGGAGTAATAGAGCCATGCTTGGACAATCATGTAACACTAATGTATGTAAAACACTATATTTCTCTCCTATATTTATACAGGATCCAGTCAGTAGCCAGTTGTGTAGTTTTAGAATTTGATGTATGCCAAACTTGCTGACAAGTTATTCATATATGCATTCAGTGGTATGAATGGTAGAAACAATCCCTTTATTCCTTCTCCCCAGATTTCTGTTTATTACCTAGAAAGAACAGTACATGTTTTCTTTGGAGGTCTTTGTGTTAAAGCAAAGAATAACATTCAAGACCTAAAAGAATTATGGTTAGTCTTCCTCAGCCATAAAAGAATATCTCAAAAGATGACAGTTTGGAAGGTAAATGATCAGCCAAGAAGGACAAGGAGATATGCTTACAAAGGCATCAGAACAAAGGGAGTGCTATTTATTTATATTTGGATGGACATGATAGATCACACAAATGGTTTGGAAGGTGTTGCAGTGGGAATATCTGTGCTAAACACGGAAGCTGTGTGGCTCTGATAGTGCTATGCAGGAGGAAGGAAGTTTTCAACAAATCCATAATTGGATATGCTTTTGCATGCTTAGTAGTTGGGATATATGGTATTGGAAATTTCGAAATGATGAAATAATTTTTTAGGGTAGAAGTGGCCTGTAGGCAAAACATGAACTCTGTTGAACATGCACTGGTGGCAGATGGTCTGCTGAGAATTGTAGCCAAATGACTCAATTCGGAGAATTTGACTTCAACAGTTAAGGGCAAATACAGAATCTTGGTGGCAAATTCTTGGCAGTGCCCCTTGCTGTGCACAGATAAGCACCCGGTCTTGCTTGTGGCTTAAGGGCCCATATAGATGCTACATCATAATTGTTTCTGTTTCTATGACATGCTTAACCTTTTTCCTTTTTTATATTCTTTTTTTTCCCAAGGGTAAAACTGTTACCTTGAAGTTAAAGAATGTGAACTTTGAAGTTAAAACAAGAGCTTCAACTGTGCTGTCTTCTGTTTCTACTGAGGAGGAAATATTTGCTGTTGCTAAAGACTTGTTAGGAACAGAAATTGATAGTGTTGCTCCTCACCCTCTACGGATCAGACTTATGGGTAAAAATATTTCAAACTCATTCTTCGTTTTTCAGAATTATGAGATCTTACGGTGTATCAAAATAATATACACTGCACTCTAAAGTAAAATCAGTATAAGTTTATTTATCCTTTCTCTGTTAGCCTAGTAGTTTTTGCAAATGGAAACAGCTCTGGAGTGATGATTGGTAACTCAGGAATGTTTTACTAATTGAAGTTGAACTTGTTTTATAGAACAACATACACATCAGCATGAGAGCAGAATCTTGAACTGTAGCATTGCTTATTCTGGTGCCTTAAAAGAGCTTTTAAATCTGCTTTGCACCACAGCAACAGAAGTGCTTATAGATCTTAAAGTACAAAGTTCTGCAAGAAATGCAAACACTTCTGACAAAAGTAAATTTGTCTCAATCCTAAGACCTTTATGTTTCAGGTGCCTATACATTCTGCTTGAAGCATTTAGTGATACATAAAACTTATTTGCCTAAGATATTAAAATGTACTTAAAAAATAAATATTTTTGTGGGGAAAATTCATGCAAAACTCTTTTAGACTGAATTTTAAGTAACCGTATTATGTTTATAGCCTCGTGTTTTAGTGCAATCAGTTAAAAGTTAAGGGATGTTAATGATATGGTTGGGCAAGTGATTGCATCTGATAAAATTGTATTGACCTTGTGATCCACTGTTAGTATTTGCAGGTACTATAGCCACCTTTTAGAGATAAAGTGCACGGTTATTGAGTGGATATATACCTCAAAAGGTGTCAATTAAGAAATAGTATTAAGTTCTCATAAAATTATTGTTATAAGTTTATTTTTCATCATTAGGTGTACGAGTATCAGGATTTCTAAGTGAAGAAGAAAAGAAGTACCAACAAAAAAGCATTACGAGTTTCTTAAAATCAGGAAAAGAAATTGGTTTCCTTAGGCTTCAGCCAGAGAAGTCTAACCAAGAGTATTTCACAAAAAGTTCAGAAGCATCTCATAGAGGGAGTTTTTTTGATCAAAAGCGAGCAGCAAGGCTGCTAAACAGTGAGAATCTTCCTCCAAATGAAGCTGTAGGTAAGCAGCTCTTTCACGATAGGAAGTCATCGGCAAATTTTGTGGAAGAAACAAAGAAACTCACAGGTTTCCAGAGTTCTAATGTCTGTAAGATCTTCACCTGCCCTGTTTGCTTTGAGGAGCAAAGCAGTGATAATTTGGAAGAACTTAATAGACATATTGATGAGTGCCTCAATGGGACATTTGTTAAAGATACTATGGAAATATCCAAGAATGACAAATCAAGAGAAGATACACTCAACACACTCCCACACTTTAGAAATGAAAATGAAAATGGTGATGAATGGCAAAAAAATAAAACAGATCAATTAGCAAGAACAGACCAATCTGCAAGTATGTCTGACAGCTTTACTAACAACAGCACAGAAAAATTTGCTCAGATAGTATCTGATAAGTCTCACAGAGAGCAACAGCCTAGCAATCTCAGTGACATTGCTAGAAATGTGTGTATGAAAGAGTGTCTCTTCCCCAAAAGAATATCTCAAGGCAATGAGGACCATTTTGAAAAGACGGAACATACAGCAGGAACTAGTTTATCCTGTTTCTTTGAAGCTAAAGAAGGCAGTGTTCTTGTTTGTCCAGTTTGTAATACAGAACAGAAAACCACCAGTCTTGTGTCATTTAACAGACATGTGGATGTCTGCTTAAATAAAGGTCTTATACAGGAGCTGACAGAAAAAAAAGATTTTCCTGCTGAGAATTACAGTATGGAAAACCAGAATAGAGTTGGTGAGTATATGCACTAGGATGTATTTATTATTCAAGTTATCTGCTTGTACAATTAGAATACTTTGGTAATGGTGTATTTGAACTTTTTGGAACTTTGAGATTTTTGCTACAAGCTCGTTTTAGTAAGGCCTGTGTAAGACTGAACATTTTTATCTAAAAAATACCAAATCAGTTCTCATGGGAAACTAGATTTATGACTGTAATGGTAGTTAGACAGTGCCCTCCCATTTGCCATAACGGTGACACAGGAATTTCTGTAAATGGTTTGTTTTTTACCCGCAACCATGTTCAGAAAGGTGTTTGCAAGGCCACTGAGATTGAAATGAAAATCAATTAGAACATCTTCAACCTGGATTGTTTCAGAGATTCGGTTGACAGAAAAGTTATGTTATGTGCTAGCAAAACCAGAGAGGGTGAGCTAGAGTTTAAAGGCAGAAACTTCCAAGCTTCTTGTAGATAAATATAAAATATATCATGTACCTGCACCTGTAACATGCCAAACCAGTAGATGTTTACTCAAGTAGTTTCTTTCTTTGATGAAGAGTTAATCTTTGGCCAGATTAGAAGACATGTGCAGGTAGTTAAGTATCTGCCTAAAGTACTTATCCCTATTCTCCCTGACATTTGTAAGAGAAGATTAAAATGCTAGCGTATTGAATTTTTCAGTATGCAATTAATATTTAAAATATGAACCTTTTACACAGAAAATTTTATAAACACTCTTGCTGTTACATGTGCAAACAGACTTTGATTTAAATTAAGGACTTACTGTTGGTGAAGATTCTTTTTTTCCCTCCGCAGGATAAAAAAATTAAGAACATAATTTCCAACTACCACCTGAAAATCCACTATGTTATGCTGAAATATTTCTGAAAACTTCTGAACTAAGAGGTTCAAAGAATTCAATAAACTGAAGGCTTTTTGGTTTTCTCTTTTTAAAATGTTAATATAAACTACTATACTCAGACTGCAGCTAATATCTGCTTTTTGAGACAGATTAAATTTGGTTATGTTTAAAAAAGAAAGTTCTGCCATGTGTGTAATTTCTGAAGCATTTTTTCTTTCTTGAAGTAATTAATTTTTGTTGTTTCCAATTACTTTTAAGGAGCTTTAAGCAAAGAACAGCAATGCACAAATCCATCACAAGGAACAAAAAGGTGAGAGTTTTCTGGAATTTTGAGTACACCACTCATTTTAAAATAATAAAGTTTAGAAAACTATTCGGTATTGTAAACATTGCGTAGGTATGCATTGTATATTTTAACCTCTTACTGTTTTGTTGTTTTTTAATTTCAGGTCTGGATTAACAACTTCACAATCAGTATCAAAAAAGACCAAGTTGAGCAATTCCAAGCATACAATCAAAACGTTTTTTAAATGACTGTGTAGCAGCATATTCTATATGAAGTATTTCATACGGTTTTATGACTGCAAATTAATTTAGCATTGTTGGTAGGCTGGATTCAGGTGCCTGTCACTTTGGAGCCATTGCATATCTGTATAGAAAGAACATGATGTCTGAGGTAGAAGAAGAGGTGCAAATATAAATAAGGTAATTTTTTTGGTTTTTTTTAGAATAGTACTTTTTTTTTCCCCAGTTGATTCCAAGAATCAAAATCTGCTAGCACTACGATTTTGTTTGTACTGAACATGTAGAACTTTCTGAGAGCCATGAGCAGCCTCATGAATTCTCTCTGCTGTTCAAAAAACGGAACAGATTGGGTAGAGCTGCCATTGAGCAAGCTTGTAGGGCAAGCTCCCTAGAGAGCAGGAATCATTAGCTAGGGTGCTACACTGTACTTACTGAAGGCTCTCTCAGGACACCTGACCTGCCATTCTCTCTCAGGACCACACCTGACCTGCCATCCTCACGGTGGTAATCGTAGTAGCTCAGGCTGACACTTCCTTGGACAATTCAATGCCAAATTTAGTTATTATATTGGCTGTGTGATAACAAAGAAGAGCTGAGTTGCTTGACTTCAGCTTACAAATGTCTTCTCAGTGAGCAAAAAAACTTACTGGTCTCACAGTTTCAAAGGACAAGAACAAGAACTTAGAGCACTATCAAGCTTTCATTGTTTTACTGAAAATTACTTCAGTAAGAATCGATGGACCAGCCGTGTCCATCTCATTGTGGTGAGATACAGGATGACTTCACTGATTTAGAAAATGTTAATAAAACTGCTAATTGAGAGAAGGATTCCTGCAGTGTAGTCAGACATGCTATTTGATCCTTGACCTTTCCAAAGAGATTGAGAACTCTTCACGGTTCGAAATTGTCACCAGTCAGTAGGACATAATTTGCTCTAAATAAAAGGTCTCATGGTGCAATAATAATGAATTATGTGCAAATATGCAAGATGATGAACCTCTTACTGTTTACCTATATTTCTCTTTAAAATTATTTTTTATTTCCGAATAAATTATATTTTATCAGTGCATATGTTGAAGGAAGGAATTAAGTGCAAATATTTAAAATACACTGTTTAGCTTTTTCTGTTCATGACAAAATGCTTAAAGGAATTTTATTATACTTAAATATTTATCTGACAAATAATTTATTATGATAGCATATTTCTTAGCAGTTACACAAACAGTGCTAAACCCTGTATGATATATAAATTGCTTTTTGACTGCAAACTGATTTAAAGAAGTGGCTACTGTAGAAACATCTATTTTGTTGTTTAACTGTTTTGGAAATACTTGGGGATTTGCTTGGTTTTTAATCCAGTATGTACATGGTATGTCTTAGATGCCCAGGCTAAGTCCAGAATGTGCTTTTTTGTTTCCAAAATTGCTGGAATGATTACACCATCTCAACCTGCTTGTCTGTTTGTTTGCCAGATGCCACTGTACCCACAGCTCTGTCATTTGACTTCATGTCAGTGCTCCCTTACCTTCTTCAGACCAAATCAGCTGGACTAGTTCAGACTGTGCAAATTGATTGAGTTGACTTTTTCTGAAGCAGGTCAGTGAGCATTCAGCATGAACTGTTCTGTTGGCAGAGGTGGGAGCTGGAAACTTTTGGTAGGAAAGACATAAAAGCAGCTGGGGGAACATTAAGCTGCCACTGCTGTTTAGAAAGTGAACACCTCTCCCTTTATTAGTTTGTATCTGTCTGATTCAATAAAGTGTAGAATCTAAGTATTACCTTGTCACTGTGTGTGTATATTTAAATTGTGTATTTTTATGTAAGAATTACTTAGCAAAAACTAAGCTACTGTAAGGGCTTGAAAAAATTAAGTTAGTTTGACTAAGCCTTGAAAATTGTCTTACCATCTGTTTAAAAGTGAAGTGTCATAGAGCTATAATTTTGAAGTGTTGGTGTGAAGGACCAGGAATCGATGGGAAAAATTTCAGAAGTGGAAAAATATGTACGGCGATTGAAAGGACTTTATGATACAGACTTTATAGTTATTATGTATATACACATTGTATGCTTCCCCAGAATTTGTATCTCCTGGGCATGTTCAGGCTTATCCACTTCCCTGCTTTCCTGCGGGCTGGCTGGAGAAGCTGCAGAGAGGAGACAGCCTCAATTCGCCCCTTCTTTCCCCGGTTCCTCCCACGTTCCTCCCTCTTTTGCTTGTGCCCCTATCCTGATTTGCTCCCCCGTTTTTCTGTCTCATGCTCCACCCTATATTCTGGCCCTTTCCCCACCCAAACTGCTAAAGAATCCGGCGCACGCCTCAATAAACGATTCTACCTGCACCCTACCTTGTGTCCCGGGCCGTGCTGTGCCACGGCCCCATCCCCCCTTCGGACCGCAGCATGTTGGTAACAGGTAGAAACATGAGCAGGACAGAGTTTGGGCTTGACATGTTCTCCCTGTAGGTTGATCCACCTTGGAATTATTTTGGGGATGGTTTATCACAGCCCAGTCTCGCTCTCACACATTGTAGTGTGCAGGTCGGAGCCAAGGGCTGGAGTTATTAAGAATCATACTGCCCACAAGTCAGCCGAGGGAGCCACTGCAGTGGCCCAGGCTTGTCATCTGGCTGGTGTTGCAGGGATCTGTGCCATGTCATTCTGATGCCATTTGTGTACATGAGCACCTGTTGAGGCTGGGCCTGTCCATTTCACTGTTCTAATTACTACTTTGAAGCAAAGGCCGGTGGCAACAAGCAGCTGTAACCATAAAGGATGAGGATAACTTGAAGGAGCTACAGTTGAACAGACTAAGAATTCATGCACTGCAGGACTCAGAATCCTGTAGTTTCATACTTAAGGTAGAAGAACACAGTTTAATAAGATTAATACACAGTTTAATAAAAAAATACTTAAACTAGACTTCAAATCTCACCTTCTTTTACAGGAGATAATTTATGCTTTTTCTTCTTTATGCACTATTCAACATGCTTGGGTCTTACATTTTACCTTTATATTGGTTCATTTATGTATTTATTACTACTGTTACTTTAATACTAAATGTTACAGAAAGTTCCTTAAGTTCCTGTCAGAGATGCTGTGAAGGCAAGTGAGGAATATGTTACATTACTTCCTTGCTCTGCACTTTGTTTTGAATTCTGCATCTCTGTAGGTTTCTGCATCAGTCTTTCTGCAGTTTGTTGGGGCCATTTGAAAGAGTCAGTATTGTGGGAAGTAGTTAGAAAATGTGGTAAACTTGCTATTTGCAAAATTTGAGCCCATGTAGTTGTACTCATCCGATATGCTCTGAAATAGTACTGTATGTTAGTAATTAGAATGGAAACTAGCAGCTGGTGTTTCCTGACTGTATGTAAAATTATGATTTTACTGTAACTCATACTCTGTTCCTCCTTTGGTGCCAGCTTTGTAGGCAAATTTGATCACTCCTAGTTGTCTCTGGTCACTCATTTTGAGAAGGAGCATTAATGTTGAAAACAGTGGGTCTGTACTACTAGCCCAGTCATCATACAGAAGTAAAACTTCCTCTTAAGGAATTTTGCTGGAACATTTGATGGGAAGCAAGAAAAAGTGAAACCTCCATAATTCAACTATGATAAAATCAGTTGCTTGTTCTTCTCAGTTGGTGTATTTTCCCAGGGTTTCAGGGTTTTTTTGGCTGAGTAATGTTCATCTGCTTTAAGTACAGTTGATGTAATTATCCTATCAGACTAAGGTGTATCAAATGTAAAGATTTTTATACATTACAGCCTGTCTGTATCAAAAGTGTTTAAAGGAGAAAAGAACTGTGAAATCTTTTGATCTGTGATAAGCTGAATCTGAGCCAATAGTTTAGAATCCAAATTTGCTCAGTTTACAAACTCTTGAGTCTTTCTGATTAATTTTACCATGGACAGGTATCGTGTTTATAATCTTGGAAATTAAAACAATGGTGTAATTTAATTACTAAGAAAAAATTACATTGAAGGAACTCAAATCTGTCTGCAGTTTTGTAAGGCTGAATATTGATATTCCTGCATTCTTGGAGCTATACTTCTCCCAGTATTTGTTTTGAAATGCCAGCAATATCAAAAGCTGTTCTTGAAGTAAAATTTAGGGTAGTCACTCAATTTTTATGCCCTGAGAAAAATCATTGTCTGTGTGAAATGACATATCAATGCTGCCTTAAGTAGATCAAAGTAACAGGGGACTGCAAGATAAATTGAGGAATAGATAGATTGGATGGATCTCAGCATGTCATTTCACAAAAACTGACCCTTTTGGGGGATGTGTGTTTATTTTGATGGGACTTTGACAAAAGCAAATGAAAATACTGCCTACCTGAAATTGTGATTGGATCAAAACTGCTAGTGCATTTGTGTAGTTATGCACAAATTTGTGGCAGAGGCACCTCAGTCTCTTACATCCTGAGGCTGTGTCAGGCTAGTCACCCTTCCCGGTGCAGTGTACACTGATTGACAGTGGTGAGAATAACTCCCAAATGGACTCCAACCTGCAGAGAGAGCTCCAGGACCACTGTGTAATTAGTAATGCAACCATGACTACCTGGTAATTGGTAATAAAGTGTTACTTGTTTGTCTAGTGCAACGAGACTGCCTTTTGTCTTGCGTGTGCTTTTGGAGGTCCCAAGTGCTATTGGCACGTAAGGCTAGAGAAGACCTAGAGATTGGATGCGGCAAGGATGATTCTGCTCAGTGCCTAGCTGGTGCCAAGAAATGCAGTATATTTAATTCCTGGTCTCTGTTAGAACAGACTCCCGAAGCTACTCCACACCTCTGCCCCTTGGGGCGATGCGTCCAGGCGGTGGGTGGTGCTGCGGGTGTGCCCGCAGGGCCGTGTGAGGCCTCGAGCCCCAGAACCGGTTTGTCGAGGCCAGCACAGGGCACCTCCCTCCGCACACCGACCGGGGGCCCCTTCCCTTGCGTGAGGAGGAAGAGTCCGGGGGGTTGGAGGCGAGGCAGCCCGGGGGGCAGCGCAGCCCCGGGGCCCCTGTGCGGCGGGCACAGCCCCGTCTGGGCTGCCGGGGCGATGGCCCGGGGGGCAGCGCAGCCCCGGGGCCCCTGTGCGGCGGGCACAGCCCCGTCTGGGCTGCCGGGGCGATGGCACCCTCCCAAACCCGCTTTTTGCCTTGACCGAAGAACAAAATGAGCGGTGGGGGTTTGGAAAGGACAAGGTTAAACATGAGCTCCTTTACATGTAGTGAAAGACATCAGTAAATGTGTGGATATGGGGTCAGAAGCTGATTTTGACGTTGCCTTCCAAAGGAGAAGTCCTGCAAACTGCCCAGTGCCCTGCTTCACCCCTGACCTGCTCTGGGGGGGTTCGCTGGCATCAGTCACGTCTCTGGGGCTGAGCCCCTGCCACCAGTCCCACAGCCGATCTGGGCCCCCATTTTGGGGACACAGAAATCAGAGGACCTTGCACTCAGCAACACAAGTCTCAGTGATGAGCTCTCCAGCTTTCATCCTGCACACCAGTCTGTGAAAGACCAGACTGCTCTGGAATAGGCTGCAATTAGTGAAAAGACCTGATTTGTGGAAACTGAGAGGTAGTTTCCCTGCCTCACCCCGGTCCTGTGATCGAAGTGTGACAACCAGGAGCCCTTCTCCTGGGCTGTAGTTCCTGCTTCCAGGCTGGCAGAGTGGGCAAGAAGGGAAAGAAATTGATAAAATATCACTGTTGCACTCGGTGGATTTTCCTATGACCTCTTTGAATCAGAAAATTACTATTTTAGAAAAAGATTCTCATGAATTGCCCTAGAAATTTTATTTCCAATAACAAGAAAACAAAGGAAACATTGAAAAGATGGTCAAATGATTAAATAGATGACTTAATTTTTAGAAACAATTTTATTGCCATTTGAATTTAAATGTTGTTATTTTTTTATTTTACCTCCTTGGAATCTTCAGCCAGTTCAAGTTCTTGGGGTTTTTTTCCATGTGCTTTTTGAGATAATTTTGGATTTCATCGTGTGGACACCACAACAGGAAATTAGAAAGAGACAGGGGAGGTGGGGGACACACACATGCAGGGATTTTCATTGTCTGTAAGTACTGAAATCTCTACTGCACTTTTTTACTTCATTGGAGATCATCCATATTTGTGATATTACTGAAAGACAGAATGAGGCCTCTAAGACATAAGTATGAGAAAAGAATTGAAGGTACCTCACTTTCTGTTTTGAGACCAACAAAGCTATTTACTTTTCTGCACTTTTTATTTTCTTGCCCTTCTAAGAGATGAACAATGTTGGGACATTCAATATACTGCTGCCAGGACTCTCTACAAAGGAAATTCAATATAACTATTTTATTGTTATAATATAAATATGCAGTTATGACACAAGCTGTAGGGCAATAAGCCAGACATTTTGTATGAAGCCATAGAAAATACCCCCTAAAAAACCCTGACAACCTCAAGTAGATAATTGATTGCTACTGCTACTTGAAAATAGAGTGGTTACTGGTAACACAGGGAGTGCCAAGTCCTGGAGACCCCAGAGCTTCCATAAATCTGTAGTCTGACAGCTCTGTACTCCTGTGATTTCATACATGGGAAAAAAAATCAGTTTGCAAAAGCAGCAAAAGTTTGGGCAACAAATCAGTATCATGGCATGTCTGGATTCTCACTGTTCTTAACTCATGAATTAACAAGAGGTATTAAGAGAGAGATTATTAAGAAAAATGATGCCGGGAACAGAAGGTCTTTTAACAGCGTGGACAGGAGAGAAAAGATCAGTTATTAATTCTTTGTCAGAACTACAACAGAACTGTCCTTGCAGTACTGTCTGATGCAGATACATTAAAGAAACATAATTTTCTCTTGTTTCTTGAAGGCAGTGTTGAGTAAACGCTTGGGGTTGTTCATGAATGTCCTGCGGTGCATTTATTTTTGCATTCTCAAGTAAGACATATGTGTGATGTTCATCAGCAGTAACAAATGTGGCCTAATTGTAACTAATTGCAGCTACTTAGTGCTGTACATTTTGTTTCCACATTTGCCACAGATTTGTCTTGAGCAAGGTGTCCTCTGACCATTGTTATCTGAATTGAAATTAAGTTAGTGGAAAGCTCTGGTGGATACTTCTTTAGGGTAATGACTGAGTAAGCTAAGAGTAAGAAATTTATTCTTCAAAGATTCTTTTGTTCATGGATCAAAGATCCCAAAGTTCATAATGATGATTTTCCAGTCAGGCATGCTCCTTGCCACAGATGCCAGGGGTGCCTTTTTATTTGGAACTGCTTTTTTTTTCTTTTTTTTATTTTCCCCTGTGCCCCCATGTTGTAATACAAGCAAAACATATTCTATGATTTGCAGAGAAATTTGGGAGGTTGCTTCATTTGTTTGAGGTGCTTGGATAATTTCATAGGAAAACTGGAAATACCTTTGCAAGTATCCAGCTTAATTTCTAACTCATTCTGTTACAGTACAACTGTGATTATTCCCCCTGAGACTATAGCCATGGGGAACATGTGAAAAGCAATTAAGTGAATGCTATACTGATTTTCCTTAGTATGCTCTGCAGTCATACTACCTCAAGCTGTGTTCTTATTAGGCATTAATGAACTTAGACATAATGCAGTAGGATGAATTTGCCTGAGAGGCCTCTAAGGAATAGTTAGTTGCTGCAGTTCCTGGTTCAACAGAGTGTTGTCCTCTTTGGTGGTATCATTGGACAAGTGATTTCAGGGCAAAATATTCTAGACAGAAGATATCTAAGTAATTATATTACAAGTGTGATACGCTAGGGAATTAAAGATATCTACTAACATTTTTGCAAGTAATTTAACCGCTATGCTATTTTCTTCTAAGTGATTAATCAAATGTTAAGGTAGAAACATGAAAAATACTCTAACCCTCAGCTAAACCAGCTGTAAGGTACTGGCATATTACTGTCCAAAGTTACTGAACAGGCTGTTGCAGCTACTTTAGCTGACTGAACAGATGTTCATTTTTGAATTGAGACATTGAGGAAAGGTCTCAGTTTAAAAGTGAATGTCACATTGTGGCCAGATTTTGGGTTCAAGTAGACACCTTTTTGTTTGTTTCTTTTTGCCCCCTTTAAACCTGGTTGGTTTGGTTGGTTTCATTTTTTTTTGTTGTTTTTCCAGTTGTGTCATGCCATGTGGTTACTGCTTTAGATTTTTTTGTATTTTGGTGGTGTGTTGTGTTTTAAAACAGAGCAGCTTCTCAAAAGAACAAGAAATAAATGCTGGAGTTTGTACCATTCACTGGTATGCCTATAAAATAATTTGGGGCCCATTTAGACGGCAAGAGCTTTGTAAAAGAACTGTTCCTGTGAGCAGTGCAAACAAAGGTAATCCATGTTCTGAAATGTTTCAGAACTACCTTTATTTGCACTTAAAATTTGAAACTAGAAACACTAGCCAAGTATTTCTAGAGGAGAAAAAGGTAGTCCAGAAACAGTCCTATGATGAGAAGCAAATTATTCTTGTAACATTAAATCAGGACAAATAGCAGAAGGTAAGAAAAGTATCATTACCCTTATGTTGGTTGTGGCTATTTTTTTAATAATACAATTTTTTCATCATGTTTTTCCACAGTATTGCCAGATGAGAGAGAATTTCAATATGCTGCTAAAATTAACAATTTGGAAACCATGGAAAAGCTGTTTAAAAAGAATGTTAATTTAAATGCTGTAGATACTGTGAGTATGAAGTGCCTGACAGATCACTGCTATGAAACGTGACTCCTTGGGGTTGCTTGGTGGAATGCCAGCATGCTGGTGTGTCCCATCAACTGCAAGGTGGTGGAACTGTGGGAGTCCCCTCTAGGACCTAATTAAGAAACATTTCACACATCCATCATGAACAGTAGGATTTGTGCAGCATAACTCACAGGTTTTTGCATTTAGCCACTAGTCAGGGTATCACATTGGGAAATAAGGACTTCTCGATTGTGTCCCTACTATAATATTTCCTCAGTGTTCTTGGGTGACCAATTTCTCAAGTTCCCCATCTTTTAGAGTGGGAGGACTTTACCTCATTAAGAATTAATTTTTGCTACTAACATCAAAAATTTCAAGGGTGAAGTATTACCCTTCGGTTTGTATGGAACCATGGGAGCATTCTATCACATCCTCTAGCTCCAGGCTGAGATCAGAGTTCATATTTTGCCCAGAGAGATGAAAATGCTTTTCTTATGCTGCCTTGAACTCTGGGCCTAAAATCTGAGGATGTATACTTCACAGTAACAAAATATAGTGCTGTATTCAACATGAGAAGTAGTTCAACAGCAACAGAGTGGTCATGACATTAAACTGGGAGTTGTGGATAATAGCATGCCCTCAGTGGCTACATATAAATCATCTATCCATGGACATCCAAAGTTAACCACAGGTTCTAAAAAAACTTTCTTTCCCATGACTGTGTTCATTTTCCCCCACTGGAGAATGTTCAATAGTACATGTGAATTCTCTGGTTTGTTTGTGAAAAAGAGAGGGAGACAAAATTTTCTTATGTATAAACTTCTTTTGAACAGTGAGAGTGTTCCCATCAATTGCATAGTACTCTAAAAAGTCATGTAAAATAGTTCTTGCTTCCTTATTGCTTGCCAGAATTTAGGAAATTTAACTAAATACATTTCCAGTCAAGTAGTTTGAAACTTTATTCTGTCGTCCTTAAATCACACGTGTATTATGAGAGAGTTATTAGCATAGCTATGTGGGGGTTGTGCTTTGATTGATTCTCCTAATAGGGGTGTAGCTTATACTGGCAAAGCCATTCTTTTTGTTCATGTTGATCATTCCTGCCCCTGTACTCCCAAGCCAAATAAGCAAGGCTGTCAAAAGGTGAGTTTTTATAGTACTATTTCTGTGCAAGAGTTTTTTTCTGGCATAAATACACATTGTAAATCCCACCTTTTTATGTTTTTAATGCATATCACTTTAAATTTAAACTTACACATGAATAAGTCAGATGATCTGCAGAGAAGAATGAGAACAAATCAAAACCTACTTTTAAAGTTAATTGGTTAGATCTCTTTATACTTCCTTGTATGGAAACTATTAGTGAATTATATTAAAGCCAGTTATGTTGACTTTAACTGAAAGCAAACTCCCTCCACTAAAGTTTAATTCAATTTAACAATCCCTTTTAAATTCAGACCATTCATTACTTTACAGAGCAATTAATCAAGTCTTCCTGATAAGCACTGAACCTATTTACCTGTGTAAAATTACTCACTGCTGGCAAGATGGTAGCTTTCACTTACGTAGATAATGACTCAGTCTGGGAAGGTGACTAACACTGAATGAGGGAGAAATCTTGTCATGCTTTGCAGAGATTTAGTGAAAAGGAGGATATGAGAAGCAAATCTAATTGTGTAAATCTAGCTCTCAGCTTTTCAAATCAATCCATATAATAAAATAGTAAACAAGGATGCTTCTTGTACTGCATTCATCTTCTCTAGGCGGTGTTTGATACTTCATCCCACTTTGACATTTCAGTGAAGGAACAATGCTGTGTAGACTAACTAAACCATTCTGTTTTTAAAAGAATTCTCTCAAGATCGATACTTAAATTCTATCCACAAGGGAAGAAAAACGTAGGTAAAGACCTACTGTGACTGTTGAAGGAGAAATATGAAATAGTATATAGTAACAGGTACATTTGGTAATAATCAGAGAATTCCAAAATCCTGATCACCTGCACAGGGAAAAGAACTGTATTACAGACCTGACAAACAAAGCTTTGCTTATTTCAGCTGAAGCGCACTGCGTTCCATTTTGCTGTTGCGGGAGGTCATGTATCAGTGGTGGATTTTCTTCTTCATCACAAGGCTAGGCTTGACATATCAGATCAGGTAAGCTGTTTTGCTTGTTTTGATTCACACGGTATAGGAACACCTTAGGGGAAAAGTGAAAGTAGATATTTATCTTCTGCTCCCAGTTGTGCAAAGTTAAATGCTTGCTGTAAAAACTCCAGTGTGCCTTAGAACTTCACGCATTTGTGTGAAAAAACGTTGTTAGAGAAAAACATGTTGCCTGGAATACTGGCTAAGTTAAATACTTGAGTCGGCACATGGCAAGGGTGGCTGAAATACACTGTCTGTGGTAATTGTAAATTAATCATGGGCCACTTCATATGAAAGCGATCACTGAAAGTAAAAATGAGCTATGGGGATCGCTAGCGGCTCAGAAAGTACTCCTTGTATTCTTTACCTCCATTTTTATGTGAGTAGCTTAATGCAAAACTGTCAGCTGCTCTGCAGCCTCCAAGATGTTAAATGTTTATCCATGTATGGCTGATTTGCTTGGGCCAGATGGTGATCCACAGTGCAAGATTTGAGTCAGATATTAAAACCAAATGTATGGTGTGTTATTAATAAATATGCTATTCAAACCAAGAGTTTTCCATTGAACTGAGTTATGAAAATTGATGAATTTACCTTTACCTTTTTCTGCTGTTTACTTCTTATCCACCATATGCAACAGTGTTTAAGTTATAAATAAGATAAATGCCAGGTTGTGGAGAGTGGAGGGAAAAGTCTGCCTTATTTTCACATTGTGTTGGAATGAAAATGAGAGATCTGTCAGTTGCAGTTATCAGTGGCTCATGGCTTTGGCATGTTCTTGCAGTGTAGGTAACCATTTCCTTGTTAATGCTGGTTGAGTTGCTCTGAAATGTGCTCCTGAGCTGCTCTGTCAGTGAATACCTCATGTGCTGCTCTGAAGAAATATATCCTCCTTCTGGACCCTATCAACTCCTAAGCCGATCTTGCACTGTTGTAAGCAACGTTTCCCATTTGTCTGGCAAGCTGAAAGACATTGCCTGAATGGAAGTTTAAAATTAATTGTCTATAATATAAATGCTAATGGAAAAGTACTGCAAGAAGTTTTCTTCAAGTATTAGTGCTCTCTAACAGTTAAGAAATAGATCCCTGGATCTTCCACAGAGTACCAGTGGGTATAGTGTAAATTTTATTCTGTATCTATTGTAAATTATCCTTTATGGCAAATTATTTTTCACTAGGAGTCTTTCAGATTTATTTAGGCAATGAGGTGCCTCAAAACATTTTATTGGTCCTTTCATTATCCTGATAAGTTGCATTGAAGCCACAGTGGAACCCTCCACGCATGTTGGAGTTTCTATTAGACATTTCTATTAGACATTCATCATTTTGAAAGACCATTGGAGACGCTCCATCATAGTTAGCTTACAGGACTTAAATATTATGACATTACATTTTGTATTTGACAGTGATTCATGTACTCTCTGGCAATCAGTTTGATCTTGCAACTGATAAGAAATAGCATGAAGATATTGTGACTTGATTTCTGACATACTTTTTGTATTAATAAGCATAAAGTCTTAAGCCCTCTCAACACTGCTCAGTACAAAAAATAAGTTAAAAACACAGAGCAGCATTCCAAGCAGCAGATAAGTGTTGCTCCCGTCTCTAGATTGGAGACTTGATGTAACTCATGGAGGTAGTTAAGATGTTTATTGATTAAGAAACACATTTCTAAGAAACTGGCAATAAACACACCACTATTAATTGTATTATTAATTAGTATTAATAGTATTAGTAGTATTAATTCACAACTATATCAATCCCAAGCTGCAGTGATTGAGTTACAATTTTATTGTTTGTTACCATTTTTAGCATTGATACAGAATTACTGAAAAGAGATCTTATAATACAAAGCTACAATTCTTGTCCTTCTGCACTTAATATCAAGGTAGAAGTTTATCTGTTCTTATCCATCCTACCATCCCAACTACTTCAGAGGTGGACCCAATGAAGAGTCCAAGGCAGTCCCTCGCTATATTGGAAGGAGCTTGGGTCTGCAGGTCATCTTATCACCCTTAGCACAGGAGTCCACAATCACACAATTCTCCACGTTTTTTAGTTTCCATATGATTTTATGCCTTATTTGCCTTTTTTTTGGTCTTTTCCTTTGCTCACCTTTTTCCTACCCTTGTACTTCCTTTTCTCCTCCCAGACTCCCCTCTGCCAAATAGCACACAGAGAGAATCATATAAAGTGGCTGAGGTTGCAACCTCTGGAGATGACCTAGTCCAGCCTCCTGATTAGAGCAGATTACTCAGAGCTGTGTCCAATCAGGTTTTGATTATCTCCAAGGATGGACACCCCATAACATCTCCGGGCAATTGATTCCAGTGTTTGATCATCCTTAGAGCAAAAAAGATTTTTCTTATGTTGAAGTGAATCTTCCTGTACGTCAGTTTCTGCCCCATTGCCTCTGTCCCTGTCACTGGACACCACTGAATCTGGATGGTTCTTTTTCACTCCCTTCCATCAGGTATTTATGCACAATGATAAGATCCACCCAAGTCTTCTTTGACTAAACAGTCCCATGTTGCTGAACATCTCGTATGTCAGATGTCCCTGGGGCATGTCTCTCCTACGCTGGAAAGCCCAGAACTGGACATGATACTAGAGGTGTGGTTCACCAGTGAGTAGAGGGGAAGGATCACTGCCCTTGGCCAGGTGGCAGTGCCCTTCCTAATGCAGCCAAGGATATAATTTGCCTTGCGTGCTGCAAGGACACAGCTGATTCATCTTTAACTTAATGTCCACCAGGAGCCTCATGTCCTCTTCTGCCAAGCTGCTTTCTAGTCAGTTGGCCCCAGTCAGTACTGCTGCCTGAGTTTGCTTCCCCTCAGGTACAGGACTTTGGATTTCCCCCTGTACGATTTCATTATCTTCTTACCAGGCCTTTTCTCCAGCCTGTCAAGGTTCCCCTGTATTGTAGCACACCAATCTGGTCTATCAGCCATTCCTCCCAGTTTAATACCACCTATAAATTTGCTGCAGGTGCTCTCTGCCCCATCATTCAGGTCATTAATGAAGATGTTAAACAGTGCTGGACCCAGGATCAATGTGTGCATTGCTTGTGACTGGCCTCCATCTGGACTTTGTGTTACTAATCAAAGAATATTTTGGGCCTGGTGGTTCAGCTGGCTTTCAGTACAACTTGGTATACCTGTTTGCCTACACCTGTACTTCTGTTTGTCTAGAAGGATGTTATGAAGGACAGTGTCAAAACTCTTATGAAAGTTGAGATAAACATTCATGTCTCTCCCCTCATCCACTAGTCTCATTGTGTAAGGCTATCAATTCTAGTTACTTTTTCTCCTTATTCATACTTAGGAAGGTTTTTCAGGGCAGACTTTTGAAACAGTCACAAATTTTGCCCAAGCCTAGATTTGTCTCATAACCTGCACACCAGATGCATGTTCCAGATTGCCCTCCACTGTTTTCCACTGCAATTTCTGCAAATACAGGAAAGACACTGATAGACTGTAGTCCTGTGCAGAGCCTCTAGGATTATTAGAACTGCAGCATGATTAGAACTGTGTATGAGGAGGTGCTGAGAGAGGTGAGCCTGCTCAGCCTTGGGAGAAGAATGGTAAAGGGGACACCTTATGGCTGTCTGCAGCTACATATGGGGAGAATACAGAGAAGACAGACAGACTCTTCTCACAGGTGCACAGTGACAGGACAAGAAGCAATGCTCTCAAATTGCAACATGGGAGGTCCTAATTAGATAGAAGAAGAAAAAAAATTCACCGTCAGGGTGGTCAAACACTGAAACAGATTTTGCAGAGAGTTTTTTAGTCTTAATCTTCAGGCTATTCAAAGCTTGCCAGGAGAAGGTCCTGAGTGACCTAATCTGGTTGGACAGGCTTTGAGCAAGAGGCTATAGCAGTGGGACCTCCAGAAGTCTCTTCCATCCTGTACTGTTTTCTTACTCAATGAATAGTTTATGAGTAGTACCCTGAAGTCACTATCACCTCATCCGGTCACTGGTCACCACAGGGAAGAGATCAGTACCTGCCGTCCCACTTCCCCTCACGAGGAAGCTGGAGGCTGCTATGTCTCCCCTCAGTTTCCTCTTCTCCCAGCTGAACAAAACAAGTGACCTCAGCCACTCCTTGTATGGCTTCTCCTTAAGGCCCTTCACCATCTTTGTGACCATTCTTTGGACACTCTCTTACAGCTTTATATCCTTCTTGTATTGTGGCATCCAAAACTGCACACAGGACTCAAGATGAGGCTGCATCAGCACAGAGTAGAGATAGCCTTTTTGTTTCTAAGTTAAAAACAGGGGGTTTTTTTCTTTTTTTTTTTCTTTTTTCTCTTTTTCCCCCTATAATAGAAATATTTTTTAGAGAATTTGAGAGAAAAGAACCTTAAAAAGTCTAAATGGAAAATTATGGCGACTCATGGATATAGAGCCACTACATATAGTCATCTGATTTGTCATCCACTGCACCCAGGGCTAAATATCTACATAGTTTCTGGAGAGAGAGAGAATAATTTGCAGGTAGTATTTAGTACCCCCTCCCCTCCTCCCACCCTTCCTTAAAATGGGATCAGTCCTTCTCTGGAGATGCCAGACCTTCTGTCAAGAAGAGGACACACTGGACATTTAGATAAGTCTTGTTGCATTACATTTTCCTTAATTCCACTCATACTGCTAGGTGTTAATATTGCTTTTCTAAGAGCCTGCAGAGCAGAACCTGATACACTGAATTAATCAGTAAGATTTAAAGAAATTTGGTGTGAGGTGTTTTGGTGGTAGTTGTTGCAATCCACCCTGCAAGACAGAAGTAAGTTTTGGGTCAGAGGCTGGAGGTGCTGTTTTTTTCCCAGTCATTTAGGCTGGGGCAGGGGGCTGCTTCAGAGGCACCCCTGCTCAGAATGAGGCCTTCTTGGGGTAGTGATGGGTGTGTGCACAGAAGGACCCCTTTGACATGGTCTGGCTCATAGGAGAAACGCATCACACACTCAGAGATTCCCCACTGGCCTCCACAAAGCTAAGAGTTTGTGGGCTAGGCCCCCTCCCCTCAGCCTTTATCTTCAGTCTCCTGGCATGAGGCTTCTTTGCACAGCTTGCTACAGTAGCAATGTTTTAAGGCAATTAAAAAATTCAATTCCTAGCTGTAATTTCTGTCTTTGTAATTTTATTTGAAGCATGGCCTGACAGTGATTCATCTTGCAGCTTGGACTGGAAATCTGGATATAATGCGAAAATTAGTTAAAGCAGGTGCTGATCAAAAGGCTAAGAATGAGGTTTGTTATGACAAATTTTTATCAACTCTAAACATGTTTGTTTGGAAAAAAAAATCAAACTTATTCTTACAGAGTCACTTATGGTTTTTCAGGAAGGAATGAATGTACTGCACTTTGCAGCTCAGAACAACAGCGTTAAAATAGTTGATTATTTTCTCCAAGAACTTCATCTGAATGACTTGAACAAGCCTGATGCGGTACAGTGTGTTTCTTTCTGTTTATTTCTTTGATATCATGAGGCTTTTGTTTAGGACAAAACAATCCTGACTTGGGGAAATTCAATTAATTTAAATTTATTGCTAGTTACATAAACTTTTAATTAGTGACTTTAATATTGAGAAACGAGTAAAACAAACAGCCAGACAAGCACTTGGAGAAAACACCTTTTCTCCCTCTTTGATTATCTCAGTTGAACTGCAGAAACTTCTCCTCCCCTGCTCTCCTTGCTTTTGCTGCATGTGATGTTCAGTTGCATTGGTGAGGCAATGGGAGGCAGAGGAGGTTGGGGCCAGTCCACAGTGGATTCCTTTTTTTCTGCTCTTTGTTTCTTACTCTTTTCCTCTGCTTCAGCAAGCTTCTTCCCTGGGCTACAGTCTCCCTGCAGGTGTACCTTCTCTTGTGTCTCCTCTCTTGCATCCTCTCATGTCTCCTCCTGTATCTCCCCTTGTGCCTCCTCCCTGTAGCAGTGACCAGCCTTTCTTAAATACATTTTCACAGAGATATCATGTGTTCCTCTGATGGCTTGAGTGTTGGCACGTGGTGGGTCAGTTCATTCCATTGTGGAGCCAGCTGTAAATGGCTATGGAAGGGCAGTCTCTGATGTCCTCCCACACAGCCCCCTGCCCTTACCAAAACCTGCCAGTTATGGCCAACATGGGCGTATTTTTTCAAGATAGAACATAAAACTCTGTGCAGCCATTCTAAAAAGATGCACCAACTCTTCAACAGTGCCAGAACCTCATCCTCATCAGGTTTACTGTGTTTTTATTTTCCCTTTCCACAGTCTTGGGATCTTGTTTTGAAAGCTTACATAGCTAAGTAGGATATTTTATTTTTACATGAGGAAAACTTATTCCTGTGAGATCTGTCATCAAAAGAATGATCAAAGATCTCCCTTCTTTTATTTTTTTTTCAGCCTTGAACTTTATTGACCCAAAATTCTGAATTCTTTTTACACATGACAAGGCTGACAAAACAGAGTTAATTTAACAAAACAAACATTTTTGTCTTAGGCCTTGGGAAAAGAAAGGTGAAGAAGCATCTTCTCTTTGTTGAGGTTGTTTCATAATTCTCTATTAGTTGCCTGCATTTCTTTTTCTTAGATATGAGATGAGGCTGTTTTAACTAGTTGGTTAAGTGCCTCACTGTCTGAACAGTGGTATGGTTTTATGTGAAGATAACTTTCTGCAGTTGAATTGTAAACAGTTTGAAATTTAGACACCACCCAAAAAACCCCCCAAACGTGCAGCTCTAAATTCAGGCCTCCAGGATGAAACTTCTGAGATATGTTAGTTCTGGTCTGTGCTTACAGAATTCAAATCATACATGTTACACCATGGAAATAAATCTTGCAATTTTCTTTACTGCCTGTTTCTGAGCATTCTCAGATTTTTAATGTTCTTTCGATAAATATTTTCATACTGAGAAGAATTAAGATTTAAATATTTTGAGCATAATTTCTACATTTTCACCATTTCTAAACAGTTTTCATATATTTTCTTCAGGATATACAAGATGTATAATCTGTTTACTTACACTAACTATATATTTTTAGTTATTAATCTTCTTGTGTATATCTACTATTCTATTAATCTCCTTAGTCTTATGATACATACATTTTTATGTAGGATACATGTACACATATGCATGCCATGAATCTAGTAACCAGAAGCAAGTATTTCTACTTTCTCTAACACTATGTTTCTTTCCATAATTGTTTTCTAGAAAGGTAAAAAGCCATTTCTTCTGGCTTCTGAGAAAGGCCATGTAGACATGATAAACAATTTGATTGCTCTGAAACTGTTCACATCTGAAAAAGATAAGGTAAAGATTTCTTTTCCACAGAAATACAACTACAAATGTGCTTACCCAGGTTTTGGCCATTAATCTTTAAATCATTGGTCTTGAGGGCTTGGTGTAGTACCCATATTTGCAGAACCCAGTCTTTTTGCTGGTACATGCTGAAGTTTTCAGAAAACCAGCTAGATCAACAAGATCATGTCTGCCTACATGTGAAAAGGCCCTTTTCCAGTTAGTCTCAATCTTGGAATGTGTCTTGTGGATCTGCCTCCTTCTCCTTGTACGTAAGAGAGAATTGTATGTAAAAGATCAAAGGCTTTGTGTTGGTTTTAGTTAATATATTTACTTTATTCTGTGTTTTAAAATTTTAATACTATTTGACTTTTTAATTTCAAGGAGGGAAACACAGCATTGCATTTAGCAGCCAAAAATGGTCACAGTGAAGTTGTAGAAATTCTGCTTGAACAGTGGGAGGAAATAAATGACCTCAATCAGGTAAGGACACTGAAACTACTGAAAGAGATAAAATTAGAGACATGAAAAATTGTCCAAAAAATAAAATTTCAAAAGAACAGATGTGGCACTGAGTGGACTTTCTTAGTTCTGCTGCTTTTCTAGTACCTTTGCATCCTGTTTCCTTGTTCCTTGTCCAATAAATTAACCTCTGTTAACTCATTCAATGTCTCTTTCTCTGTCCTCTATTCCTCACACAATGACCTCCCCTCCATTTGGCATGCCCTTGCATAACTACTCGTAGAAGAAAACACAGAAGGGCCTTAACCTCCACTTTGCTTTCTGTTGTCCAGCATTTTTAACCATGTGATCCCATTCCTTTTAGCATCTCACATATAGCATCTCTGGTGCTTTTCAAGCTATTCACTGGACCAGTTCAACTTGCATACCAAGCATTTACCATCATAGATACCTCAGCAAGGAGGTCTCAGATTTGCACCTTGCTGTCTGAACTCAGTTGCCTGCGTGAAACTGGCTCAAACACTGCCTACCTGCTTTTGCTTTCCTGGGTTAGTGTTGGTGAGCTCAGCTGACATATTCATCAGTTGCATATTAGCTGTGAAGGTTGTATGCTTGAGCTGATGCAGTCATGAGCTTAATTTTGAGGCTTAAACAAGGAGTAGAGAAAGGAAATGCACACTAGCTGCTCATCTCAGCTTTCCTGCTTTCCAAAGTGTCTTTGTGTCTCCTGTTTCTTCTATGGGGCAGCTAGAAGAAACTGAGCAAGGTAATTTCCCTTGTTGTGGGCTGTCATGCCCACTGTGGGAACATACTGTGTGGCTGATGGTCTGTTCTGCTGGCCCAGTGGGTGAAATGAGTAAGGGACACCCACTTCTACCTGAGGCCTTCTTCTTCCTTTATCAGCAACAGATTTGTGGGTGGAGAGGTTCTCTCTTACCCAACTTGTCTGCTATTTTCAGCTATGCAAGCTGAAGAGGCACACAAGCCTCTTTGAAATGTGGAGCCCTTTTGTTTCCAAGCCTTGTCTAAGAATGTTGCTTCTACACACAAAGCTTGTTCTGCTTGTGCCCCTGCCTTGCCATGGCTAATGGAGTGACCTTCCCCTCCAGCTGGACATATTCTGGGTGGTGTAGAAACCGATCTCTCTTTCCATAGCATGAGCAAAGGACTAAAATATATTCAGTTTACCAGAATAATGGTGCGGTGATTTTAAGCAAAGTACAGACAGGATTTATTAAAGCTTTTGTGAATGTTAAAACACTAGAGTAATTTTTATTAAACCTTTGTGTATTTTAGGAGTTTAGAAGCAGGGAGTAGATCATTGTGCAGCTGATGTTAGCTATTTTAGAGATTTGTTGTGGAGACATGGAGACTCTTTTGGTGTGAGAAGATTTGAAATAAATATGAAATAAGATTATTTCTATTAAAAATCCTCCTTATAAGTAGCACTAGGTGTTTGCAATTTGTCAGAAATCCATGGCATTATACTGACAGAATTCAGTACTTACTGTATGTTCTATCATGCTGTTGCTGACCGGCAACAACTGCTACCCACCATCTTTGTTTCTGTGCCTGTTTTCAGCAGTCTTCTTTGAAAGGAACACAATTAATATTTATGAATATTAATATATGAATAATTATTAAATAATTTTCTGTATCATTAAACATTACTGTACCTCTGTCCACATAAATGCCATCTGTCACTGAACTGTTGGTGAGTTGCCACATCATTCAAGTGCTAATTTAGGAGCATTCAGGTTGTGTTCTCTTGGGACCATCTCACCTTTTGTACTGAGCTGGAAGAGCCTGATTGAGCCTACCAGAGGTGTTTTGTGTCACAGTCTTATTAGTCATGTGGCTTAAATGGGAACAGACTTTTTCTCTCTTTTGGTCTAGAACGGAGAAACTCCATTTTACTTGTCTGTTAAAGGAGGTCATGAAAAATGTGCTGAACTCTTACTGGATGCAGGGAGTGACATCAATGTTTTAACTCAGGTATGTACACAGCACACAGGTAGTGGGACATCCCAGGCAGTGGGGAAGGACATTATATTCCCTTTTCTCTGTGTACTAAAAGTGTATTTGCTCTGCTTATTTTTATGAAATAGGGAAAAATAATAAAATAGAATGGGGAATGTAGAGAGTACTAACAGAATAAAACTGATGTGGAAGAAAAATAGCATTATATTTATTTGAAAGAGTACTGTGGTGGAGTTTATTCACTGTATGCCCAATAGTACATCATATGACCAGAAAATGTAGCAGACTAGGGTAACTGAAAATCCTATGTTTTGGCAGTGACTGATCTGATGTTCTTGTTCTTGTTATCCACATCTGGTTCCTGGACTTTGGTCCAACTCACATCTGCTGAATGACCTTCGCTTGCCTGCTGCAAGAGGATTATGATTCCGGTAGACTGAGCGCTTGTTTGTTTACACAGAATTATTATGTAAAAATGTTCTATGGATTTATTTTTAAAGTTTGTTAATGTGAGTGTACTTGCTTGGTAAAGGTCTAACAGGCTAACTAACAGACTAGGATGTGTATTGACATTGTTGTTGTCCATGGCTCAGTATAGATGACAATTGAAAAGGGCTGTTGGATACTGGTGTTCTTTAGCATATTTGTTGTGATATAGTAAAAATGGGAAATTCCTTCACTATTGACAAAAGCAATTGCACATCATCCTGACTGCTGATCCACTTCTTTTAGTATCATTTTATCAAAGGGTTTTTTTTTTTCACAGAGAGGATAATAACACAAACTTAAATGGAAGATTATCCTATATTTGTAGCTCTCTTTAGTACTGGGGTTTTTTTCAGCAATAAAAATGTAAGTTTTTGCTGTCTATCAAAATTTCTTTCAGAATGATAGCAGTGCTTTGCAGGTTGCAATTCAGAATGGACATCTATCCTTGGTTACTTTTCTTATTGATAAGAATATTGACCTGGTTCCTAAACCCGAGGTGAGTGTATATCAGAATAACTGTTCTGCTGCTGCTCAGCCTGTCCTGTCTTTTGTGGCCTTCCTTGGAATTCAGACAGCCAAAGGACATTGAGTAGCTCCTTGAATTTTATACTATACACGTTATCACTTAGTTGGGATATTGATTAGCAACATGTATAGACCAATAGAGACAAGGTCCTGTTGCACAACCCAGGGAGTGCCTGAGCAGACTAGTCCAGTGCAGTGTAGACATGGCCAGGCTAAGCCAAGGAGAAGATGAGCAAAGTACCCTGCTTGAACTAGCAAAGCAGGCCTCCCTGTGTGCTGTGGGCAAAGAGTTAACACTCGTAATGGATTTTGAATAAAGATAACTAGAAGATGCATAAACACTTTGGTGTTGTCACCGTTTGAAGGTAAATGCACACTCAATGGCCTCAAAGTCTGCATGCCACCATTCTTTGGGATTTAAAAAGAAGGGGTATTTATATTATGCAAATCTTCTCTCAGTTTAAATATTAGAGTTTTTGTTACGCCTGAGATTTGCTATGAATAGGAAATTATTTTCCATTTCTACAGCACAGGATGAAAATGGCATCTCGGCTTCATGACAGGCAGTGATCACTGGCCTATTGCAGGAAGTTATCAAGGAAGAAAAATTTATGATGTGCTGGAAATGATTTAAAGTTTGGGCAGTTGTTTTGCTACTTGTTCTCACTGGCTTTCTGTAGGAGAAGCAACTCATGCAATCATAATTTACATTCTGAAAACATTTCCAGCAGGGTGTTGCATAAGAGCTTCCTTTATTTTTCTGTAGCCCTGAAGAAGTGGCTGTGTTTTATAAAGACACCGAACTGGTGTCTGGCACCCATGAATAGTAGTGGTATGGAATTATTCTTTAACTGTATTTCACAAGAAATTGATGAGTCACAGGTTCAACATCCAAAGTGAACTTGCCAACCAGATGATTGGATTGTGACTGGTGTTGGACCTGTGCCCAGTTACTTTAATAAATAATCACTCAAATAAAAACCCTTAATTTCTTACCAGCTGTAACTTGCTCTAAATATGACAGCAAGTCAGTTTAGTACAAAGAATATTTCCAGCACCAATGTGTTTGTTCCTGGAAAGTAGGTTTTGACATCCGTTTACCAAATACAGAATAAATCTGTCTTCAGGCTATTCAACTAAGGGCAAACCCAATGTTCTGAGGGAGCCCTAACATTACCCTAATCTCTCTGCCAAGGATAGCAGCACAGCCCAGGTAGGAAGACTTAAGAGGAGAGCCTTGCCACATTCCTAAATGGTGACACACTGATGCAACTCCATATTTCTATTTTCTCAGCTGTATTTGTCTACCTGATGCTGTAGGAGCAGGCTACCATCTCTGGTATAACTGCACATTGAGATGTGTTTTCTGCAATCTTGAAGCTCTGCTAGAGCATATTGCCTTTGCAATGGGTAGTTTTCAATTAAAACCTCTTTCTTGTTTGAATAAACTTCTAATAATGTACCCAACCATAACAGTTTATTATTTTCCCTCCACAGCAGAAGAATTCCCCTCTCCATTTAGCAGTCATCGGTAACAATCTACCAGTAGTAAAAAGCCTTTTGGATGCCAATCATGATATAAACTCCTTAAACAATGTAAGAAAAACTGGGAATTAACACAATTTCATTGGTAAAGAAGAGATTATGTGGATCTTGCTTGAATTTTTTTTTTTGCCTTATGAGCTCGGAGTGCAAAAAAGTAGGAAGGAAGAGGTGGTTCCCTCCTTATCTTTTTGCTTGTATTAGTCACTGGTACATGCTATGCTAATATTGTTTGTGGAAGATAAGGATAATGGATTAATTTATTGTTCAAGTGTTACGGTTCATGTGCAATAAACGACAGAAATATTTGTCTCAATGGTATTGACCTCAGAGGCAAACCCAGTGCAGCGTGGCATTTGACTGGAAAGAAGTGAATCTTTTTTTAAAGCAACCCACGGGGTGCAGTGTTTTAGATCTGTGACCGAGCCATGCTAGTAAGACACCAGAGTTAAAACTGTTGCTGAGCAGTGTTTGAACAGTACCAAGGATTTCTCTGTTTCACATTCCATGCCCCCAGGTCAATACAGGGGGGTGCTGAGGGAGCTGAGAGGGGACACAGCCGAGCAGAGCTGAGTGAAGTGCTGCTCCACACTACACAGCAACACCCTGAATGATGATGTCATAGGTCTCTGTGATGCAATCAGTTAGCATGTTTTTTCTGTACAAATCCTCCTACAATTGTTAATGACCATTTTCTGCTTTTGCTGTGTGTGTCACTTTGTATTTCTTTGCCTGTGAGGGTGATGATAAAAGCACTGCCCTTGTGCCTAATCTGGTATTTTTGGGCCCTAGAATGCCACTGTCTGGGTACTCTCATGAAGAAAATCAACAATTACACCATTTCCCTTTCCTCCTTGGAGAGGTGCTTTGTTGAAAGAGGAACAAATGGCACTACCCCTTCTTATCCTCCATGATAGGTCTGCCCCACCTTCTTGTAACAGCTACTTGGTTCCTTGAATATCCTTGTGTAATCACACTGTTCATACTAGAGTGTGTTATGAGTGTGATTTTGATTATTGTTCATAAGGTTAAACAACTAATTGGAAATGCTGCACAGGAATTCACCCAGAGGCAGTTGATTGTCAGGTGGCATAGTTAAAGTTCGCTGAACTCATTAGGAAACAGGTAGACTTCTGCTACTCACCATCATTTTGTGGCAGGGCTCGCTAAAAAGCCCTGTTGTGGATGTTGCATCATAATGTTGAAAATTATGGATGTCTAGTTGTCTTGGAACGCATTTCAGCAGGGAAGAGGTTACTTGAGAGGATAATATTGATGCAGGTTGGCAGTCGCATGAAGCACTCTGCCCAAAACACCTTGCTTTAAGAGCGAAGAGAGAGAACTTGTTAGTTTATGATACATTAGAGGGGCATTGCAGCAACTTTTCCTGAGCCAGCTGGAACTTCTGTCTGGTTTTCCTACAGAGATCCCATGTGCTGTCTTGTTTACCTGAAATAAAACTGGCAGGTAGATCACTCAGAAGTTAAATTATTTCATTCTGTGTTTTCTCACTAAGGCTGCCTCTTGTTGTGAATCAATTTTAGATTCAGCCTGAGAGCATTCTGCTTCTGGGAGGGAGTTTGATGCATTACATTTATTTGGTGTCTATAATTCCAGAGGCAGGAAACCCCTCTGCATTTGGCAGCTGATCTTGGTAATGTGGAGTTGGTGGAAGTGCTGCTTAAGGCAGGATGTGATCTCAAGGCCATGGATAAGGTAAATTGCATTCCTCACACATGCAAGGATTATATGATTTTATTTTCTGGTTTATACCCTTCAGCCTGGAAAGACTGAGGCAAGAAGAGCAATGGCTGGAAGAAGTACCAAAGCAAAGTTGATAGGCAAGTGCTTTTTAAAGGACAGAATACCAAACCCAGTTTTTACAAATTTGCTAGATTGAATTTCCCCTTTTTACAGTTACCGCTATTACAGATTTTCTGTATGACTGAATTGATGGATTTGATGTTTATTATGAGAAAAATCTAGCTCTTTAGGAACTTATAAAAAGTAATTTTCCTTTACAAAACTGTCCTCATGAGAAGTGAAGCTTTGCAAACTAGGATTGTCTCATTTTTCCCTAGCCTGACATGAGGCTTGGGGCTCTGAGCATGGGCATTGATGTGTTTTGGAAGGCTGAGGTAAGATGCTGCACTGTAATTAAGCTTTTTCATTCAGAATCATGCCTACACTTGCCAGAGAGCTAAAGTTCTCATATGGGCTAACCCAGAATGAAATCTTGTTCACTTTAGACAGCACCTTAGCCACTGGAAAATTTTCTCAACCTCTTTGTATTCTAAGAGCAGACACAGTCAATTATTGCTTGTTATGACCTTAAGCACCTACAAGTCTTGGGATAGATAGTGCCCTGGTATTACAGCAATCTTGATAGAGTTCATGACTTGTTATGAGAATTTGGCTCTGAACCAGTACAAGTTGTGTCACCTTTCTGCACTGGTTTTATTTCTTGGAGTAGTTTTTTCCTTGCCTGTTTGCTGGATGACCTCTGAGGTCATGCCTCCACTGGGAACATTTGCAAGTACAGTCCCCGTTGAACTGAATTGGTACTGAGATGCCAAAACTGACTAACAGTAGACAAGAAACAGGGGGGCCTGCTTCTGTTGCACAGTGTTGTCCTGTCCTGTTGTCTTGGCCTGTCCTGGCCTCCATACCCTGGCAGCAGGAGTCCTCAGTCTCCAGAGCGTGTCATACATCTGCATGAGTTGCAAGCTGTTAGAGCAAAGGAAATGCTATCTCAGGAGCTCTTCCTTCTTCCCATCTGCAGATAAAACTGTCTTTGGTTGTGAGTGACAGTGCACAGAGAGCTCCCTGTGTGCAAGACTACCATGCTACATGTGCATGCAGGATGCCAGCATGCCTGCACCAGCACAGGAGGCCAGAAACACCCACCCCCTCTGCCTCCCTGCGAAATGTAGAGCACCCCTCTAGAGGTGAAACTCATGGAGCTCTTATGGTCTCTGGACTCTTCACATACAAAGCAAGCCTATGCCTTAAAGGTTTAATGAAATGTAAATTCATTGGCTTCCAGTGTGATGCTTTTCTAAAAACGAGAATGATCGTGAGCAGAACTAGGAGCTACACCTCAAAAAGAGTATACTAGGGAACTTTGTAGCAGCTAGATAGTTGAAATACCTCATTACTGCATCTTCTAATTAAGAGGTTGGCTTCTGCTAGGTCTAATTTTCTAGAATGCCTAGCACTTGATATGTGGAGAACACCCTGAATATTTAAATCCAAGGCAGTTACACTCAGTGCAAATCTGAGAACAGACCATTGCAGAATTAACCCTTTAGAGCCATTGAGATGCCTTTACACTGAAGTGCTGACAGCAGAGATGGGTTCAGGTAGACCGAGCAGACCTCTGCAGCTGGATTTAAAGCAATGGCTTTTAGTTACTGTGGCTGCCCATACTACCCATGAAGCATCATCCTATAGTTGTGCTTATTTCAGTCGTCATGAGAAAAGTAATTCTCTTTTCATTCTGTGAGCTAACCTCTTTTACCAAATAAAACAAGGCACAAGTTTGCCCTTAAAGTCAATTTCCAACTTTGCCAGCCCATCATCTGAAATGCCAGTTTAACCATTACATGGGAATGGATTGTATTGTGGTAATTTTCAATTTGAGATGCCTGGGCTTGTGTGAACTTGGAAGCAGTGACTGGAGAGTGCGAGCTGGTGTAAAGTATGCAGCAGTCTGAGTGCAAGAGGTTTCTGAAAGCAGCCATACCTCACTAGAAATTCTTTAGAGGGAAGTCCAGTGTGGGAAAGAAATTGACCACCGCTGGGCTGAGGGGATAGAGCTCATGCAGAGCATAGAACTTGGATTGTAGTTACTCAAAAGCCATAAAATTGTAGTAAATACCTTTTCCAGGGAAAAAAAAAAAAAAAAAAAAAACACCCAACAAAAAAAAGATGGGTCTCTGTGAACTGTTTTTGCATTTCTTCTATGATACACTTACCTGAGATAATGTTCTGATTCACTGTCTCTACTTCCAGCATGGAAAAACTGCACTAGCTGTGGCATCAAGGAGCAATCATGCCCTCATTGTAGATATGATCATTAAAGCAGAAAGGTATTACACCATGAAACAGGTAAGAGGCATCTTTCATTACACTGAATACAGCGATAAAGGAAAAGCCAATTCTGATTTTGAAGTGTCTTTTGCTTGAGGTAGTTCCTTTTGGCAGGCTGCAAGATGCAGGCTTAATTCCTGACTAGCTGTTAAAAATGTAGGCAGATCTTAACATTTTCCTGCACTGTGCTCTACACAGAGAGACAAAGGGGCGGAGGGAGATTCTAAACTAAATTCAATCTGTGCCATCAGCATGAGAGCTGGGATAATCTGGATCCACGCTGATCCCTGGATCCTTTGGTACAGTAGAATCTGTGGTTGAAAAATGGTGGAGTGCAGATGTCTGTCACTCCTTTGTTACCAAGGGCTCAGCTGCTTTGGCAGAAGCTCCCTGTTCTGTTCCTTTTGTGTTAATTATAAAATTAAATCAATGAAATGGAAAAGAATACAGCAACAAGTGAAGGACACAGCTTAGATTGTCTGAATTTCTTACTTTCTTTCCCTAGTTGTTACTTAAATGTAGGCTGCATAGTGCTGGGCCTCCCTAAAGGGCCAAATTGCCATACCAATTTGTGACTTCATTCTCACTCCTGCTTCCTGCCAGGCAGTGTTTGTTTCACTAAGTTAGCCAAGTGTATAAGCATACTGATCCCATCCCAGTGCAGGCACAGAATTAGCCGCTTTTACCACCCCACTCCTGCCCTGTGTGGCCAAATTAATGACACTTAATGTTACAGGGCTCATAAACTATGGATCTAGATTAATTATCATGAAAAGTGCCTCCCCCAACGCTCTGTATTGTGCCTATTTGATTTGCACCAGTTCAGCTGGAGTTGTCAGCTATGTTATTGTTTCTTTTGGCTTAAAGGGGAATTAGAAGTGAAGTCAGCTGTTGCCACAGAAGACATGACAAGTCTGAAAGCAGTAAGCCCATAATGCTCCTAACCTCTTGGCACTGTGTACTGAATTGCCTGAAGAGAAAAAAAAGATAGTTAAGCAGATGGTTTTCTACAAGAGCACCAGAGATGTTTGGAAATACAAACATAAGTGTTCGTATCCTATTGCCTGAAGCTGAGAGCACAGCCTTTGGGAGCAGCTTAGATCTTACAGCTGTGGAATATGATGTTGTTCAGGTGGTGTTACCACACAGGAAACTACACCATTTGGAACCATTATTTTAAGAACTGTCTTTTTATTACATTGAGCTGACTTATCATCTATGACAAAGCATTAGTTACAAAAGGAAATGTCATGTAGATGTGAGGAAAGGCACATGATACTAATGCGTGAGTGTCATCTCTCTGTTTGACCTTTTTTCCTATTTACTGTTTCTACCCAACTCTTCCCTATCATTGTCCAGGCTGGATTTGACTGGATTTGAGAGCTGCTTTTACTATCCCACCTTGCCATTGCCTCAAAACAGAATTAGCAGCAAAGCAAAGCTGTGCTGTTGCAAACATTTTTTTAGAGTTGCATCAGATGAATGGAATCAAACATGCATGATAATGCTTAGTTACTGAACTGAGACTGTTTTTTTCTTTAAGACTCTCATAAGGTATAGGAAACAATCCTGTTGTGTTTTTCTGAATTTAATTTGGAACGAAGTACTTTATGCTTAGCACTTTTTAATGTGGCATGCTTTCATTTCCTTTTTTGCTTAGTACCTGCTTTGTAATCCTCTATCAACACTATCAAATCCTGAAGACATTTTTTCCCTTTGGAGATTGATTTGAGACAGGACCAGTACATAAACAAAATGAAATATAGAAGTAGTTTGAGCTTACCTACTTAGGAATGAGACTGTTCCCTGGGCACCACTCAGCGCTGAAACCACTGATTGACATGGTTTTTGCAAAGGTGCCCAAACAAGAAGCAACCCCATCACTCCTGTTTCAGGTGAGCTACACATACAGTAGCAACATCACTTAATCTGGAGGGGAAAATCCATTTGGTTTTGGTTTCTATCTGGCAATGAAACCAGATTCAGGTTCAAAGTGTGTGTGTGTATTGCTGTTAAGACATTTTGCAGAACGGGGTTCTGCATGTTGAAACCAATAGCTCATGCTGCCAGCAAAGGATCTGCAAGTCTCCACTTCAGCCACATGAAGCTGACAGGTCAGAGGCAGGAACAGCTTGAGCAAGTGCCTCACTGAGGGTGGGTGCCTCTTCTCAGAGGAAGATCAGCACTTCTAGAAGCAAGAGGAAAGAGTAAGAACTGTGCCTGAAACCCAACCATGTTCAAAATGTGACATATAAAGTAGACAGAGTCAAGGAGCACAGCAGTGCTGGCACAGTATTTGCTGTTACTTTGCTTTTGTGTATCAAATACCAGAGAAAGAAAGTGGCTTATTTTGCAATTAATTTACTAAGGCATAGCGGCAAAGGGAGGACTTTGTCAGTTCTGTTTCTATGAGCCATACATGGTTCCTTTACAGGCATTGAGCAAATCACCTGTCAGTAGCTACACCTGGTTGTCCAGGACACCGTCCACTACTCAGTAAGCAAAGGTTTTCTTACAAGATTTATCACCTGCTTTCTTTTTCAGACACATCTAGCTCATAGCGATGATGGCTCAGACTTCAGCTTTTCCTTCAAACAAGATCACAGTATACAGACCAAGCAAATCCGTTCCTCCCTTTGGAATCTAGCGTACAACCACTTAAAACCCCGTGAATGGAAAAAACTGGCCATATTCTGGAAGTTCACAGATGAACAAATTAAAGCCATTGAAGAACAGTGGACAGGTAGTAACATCTGAGTGGCCAGACCTAATATGTAGGCTAAAAAAACCCACAGTGCAGTGTTGCTTTATAACTATGTGAGTATCACATAGTGAAGGGATACAAGCCTTGTCCCTAGTTCCCAGGAAGCAGTGCTGTAGAACTACAGGCCACTTCTGCTCTCCCTTTTGGCCTGAAAAAACCTTCCTCTTGGGAGATCAAAACCAGAAGCAGCGAGCAGCATGGAAGGGTCTTGCAGGTCATGCTGCAAATGAGGACCTGGGAAACCTCATGACACAGAAAGACCTTGTTCATGCTCTGTCTGCATAGCTGCCATGAAACAGTAGCTTCTGGTTTCAGGCATATTAAGTGCTGGTAAAACAATACTTCTACAGCACATATTATACTTGTTCACTGCTACTCTAGGATATATTTCCACATCTTGGGCAAAAATGAAAGGAAAAATTAATTTTAAGATGTATTAGGATTTTTTTCTCTCTTAACAGTAGTGTTAGGATAAAACTGGATTTTTTTAAAAAAACTTTTATAAGCATCAATCTTCATTTTTCTTCTAGGTGAGAGGGAAATAATTGAGCAGGTTTTAAATCCTCTTGCAACTCTAAAAGTGCAAAAGCACAAAATACACTGTTTCCAGCATATTGAACAAGTACTTTGTGTATTGCATAGGGAAAAAAAGTTACAAGGAACATGGAAACAGAATGTTGCTCATCTGGTTACATGGGACGCTGCTGGCTCATCAGAATCCTGTCAAACATCTATATGAAGATCTCATGACAGCAGGATTTCAGCCTTTAGCTGGTAAGTTGATACAGAGCCCATTACACTGTCTTCCAGGAGATTGCAGTGTGGTGCCGAGGTCCCCGCTGGTGCTGGGATGGTGTGACTGTGGCAGGGCTGGAGGACACTCTTCCTCTCTGGGACTCTGCCCTTGCTGCGGGGTGAGGCTGCTTGAGAAAAAGCATTTAAGTGAGACTTGAGATTTCTAAAGGAAGACAAAAATGTGCAAACTTCCCTCCTTTGTCTTGCACACATGGTTAAATTGTAACTGGCAACCCTTCAGTTAGATTAGTTTGACCATGTAAAAACCAGAGCATGCCAAGCAAGTGTTTTCTCTTACTTTACAGAGAAGATCAGAACTTCAATTAGCACTGGCATGGACTCCAGAAAATGTGCAGTTTCATGAGTTCATCAATAAAACATGGCATATATGGTGGAATTACATGCCAGCTGGAAAGTGACTTTCAAATAATATCTTTTCTGGAAACAAAAACCTATTTTGAAGTTGTACAACGTTTTGCAAGCTAGAAGAACTTGCACTTCTGAAATGTAGGTTACTTCTTTGTCAAATGCTTGCTATACAACAATTTAAAAAATTTAAGAGTGAATGGCTGACTGGTGATTTATGACTATACTGCTAAGCAAGAGCCACCCCTTACAATTTCTACACCTCACTTAACATTGATACACTAATTCCATACTGGAACTGCAAATTAATTTTATGTTTGACATGAAATATAAATAAGATGTTTTCTACCTGAAAAAGGTCAAATTTAATAAGTAAAAATTATTAGTATAAATAAATCAACACTTCCAGAAATAGGCTGGCACCTGGCCTCATCTGAGATTCAGCTTTTCATAAAGTCTTCCTAGGATTATGACAAGTCATTCTTCTTCAGCATTTGAACTATATAGTGAAAATACACAAAAATGTCATGTCTAAACTCAAGTGTGTCTGGCTACAGAATTTTCTGTCATGCTGTATGCATACTCCAAAAAGAACATTTGATATTTAATACTTAACACATCTAGAAATTATCTACCTATTTCTTGTTCATATCTTGAATTAATATTGGTAGTGCCTTGCTGAACATATTAAAGGGTTTTCTCATTTAATATATTGCATATCTGAAAAATTATGCAAAATGTCTATCTTCTTTATAACAACATAGCAATATGTAATGGAAGAATTGAATCACCTTTTCTGTTTGTATATAATCTGCATTATTTTGGACTGAATCCTACTGTTTGTACTAAAAAGATAATCTGTATCTTTGTGTGAAGTTTTACACCAAACTGCCCTCTTGTGTGCAACCTATTTTGACATGTCTGCAAAGCATCACAGGAATATGAAGAACAGGCTGGTAAATCCTCAAATTATGGAATGCATGAAGTTCTACAACATTAGCTTGAAAAATGAGAATGTTTAAGAATTTGATGGACTCAGTACCTCACCTGGCCCAAGCTGCACCCTGGGGTGTGAAGGATACCACCCTGTTGTTCTTCATTCAAGTACACTAAGATGTAGGATATAATTAAGGTGCATGTCAACTACACTTACTCACATAAGCAACTAAAAGCATTTATAACAAAAATAAATTTAATTTTCTCTTGAACACAGATGTTAGTATCATTGGAACTAAACAAAGAGATTCAGACAAAAATCACATTGTATCCTTTATTTAAAAGTGTGCAAAAGATTCCTTAAATAGAAAGGGTTTATCTTAATAAAATAAGTTCCCAAGTAGTTTGGAGGTAGAACAACAGTTCAAGTTTTTTTCCCCTCCAGATGTTTACTACAAAAGCACTTTAAAAAAACCCCCTTTTTTTAGCAAAGGGTAAAAACATGATATGTACTTGAAGCCCTACTACATCAAATCTGAAAAGACTGGGAGGAGGTACCTTGATAAAAAAACCCCACCGGTGATAATGATATTTACTCAGTCAACAACTTTAATTGACTGAACACTGGTAGAGGTCTGGCCCTGAAGCATTCGCCCAGCTTGTCCTGCAGGTCTCGCAGTGGTAGAGCCAGAAGAATGGAGCACAGTTCGAGGATATTTAGCAGCAGTGGCTTGTGATATGGTTTGCTGAAAAGTAATCAGATACATCAAAACACTTAGTGGTACAAAAAAATTCCCATTAAATTAGCCCCAGCTGAGCTGTAGTTTAAACAAAGATTTGCAACCTAGCAAACTGAAATACACTTACCAAAATAGAAAAAAAAGGGTTACTTTAGCAGAACAAGTAATTTTTTCCTTTCTTATCTGTTATACAGTTTTTAGAATGTAAAGTGCTAAACTTCTAACTAGCTATCTTGAGCTTTTATCACCTCAATCTTATTTCAAGGTTGGTTCATTTGGGTTTTTTTTACCAAATCATTCAGAATTTTCCTCTGTAGGGCTAATTTCATCATGCCAGCTTTCCTTTTGAAGCTTATTATTTGCTATGAGGAAGCCTCTGAAAGATCTCTGAAAGGAAAAGTTTTGCAATTTTATCAACAATTAATTTTCTGCACAAAAAACTAGCCACCTTAGCGTAATAAACAGTAGTTATTCTGCTTTTAATCAAGGTAAACTCTCTCCCTTCTCAGATTAACTCGAGATATATTTCAATCTGATTGTCTTCCACTTAGGCATTTATCTGCAGAAAGAGTATACAGAATATATCTTGAGGTGGGGTCTCACATTTATTACATTTTCAGAAATCAGTTTTTGATACAGTGTTCAGGTACATTTTTTGTGACACTAGTCACACACTCTGGATCCAGAAATTGTTCTAAATGAAATAATTATCACACGGAACCTCTAACCCTCTAAGGACATACAATTTAATTATGAATATCTGCTTAGGAGCCCAAATTCTAGAAAGCTGCGTGCAGCCTGCCATAGGGCTGAGTCACTGCAGGAAATGAGGGAAAGCAGAACATTCCTCACACAGCTACCAGTAACTCCAGCCAGATTAAGGGACATGAAGTAGCTCTGCTTGCTCTGGTTGTATCACTGAAAAGAAACTGGACTTTCAGATAACACAGAGAAAACTCAGATCCTATTTTACAGGTTATAATATAACAAAAAATATCTTCAGTTGTTCTCTATACCTCCAGGTAAAACCATTTTTTGCTCAGACTGGTCTATATGTGTAGTGATTGCCTAGGCCATTTAGGCCACTTTTATAGTGCTCTTAAATATTGCTTCTATACCCTACGAATGCAACTATTTCAGTGTTTTCTTCAGGATAAATACAGAGAATAGGATTCGAAATACAACAAGCAGCAGACTTGACAAATTTGTTTGCCTCTGGACAAGGGTTTTACTTTTTCCCCCTTGCCATTTGCTAAGCTCAGCATGTCAGGTGAGTCTGTACCTCTACCACCTCTGCTGCAGTCACTCCTGCTCTATACCATGACTTGTCTTTAAACTGTGGTGGCATGGTGATGACACCAAACCTTGCTGGATCAACTACTTCTCATGGAAGAGCTGGCTAAGAAAGAGATACGAGACTACTATACCTGTGAAATAATTACTACAGAACTAAGACAAATAGATTAAAGTGGCAATGTCCTCGGCAGAGCCTTCTTCCCAGCCCAAAGACTGCAAGTACTGTTTTGCTATTTTAAACAGGACTCAAGTCTGAGTTTTGTCTAATACCTCTTCACAATACGATTTTTCTTTAAACTATTACCAAATGTATTGTAATAAGAATACTGTAACAAACATAATTCTGACTTACCTGAGTGACTGGATGATGTTTCTCAACAATGACTGAACTCATGGGTGGAGCAACTCCCATCACAGCTAAACTCCCACAAGTTCTGGATTTTTGTCCCATATCAGCTCTGCCTGTGATACGAGCAGTGATTGTTCTTCCTGCTTTCTGTTGAGCAGATGTTATTACTTTTGCCATGGGCTATAAGTAAATTAAATATTAGTTGGTAAAAAATTCTAAACATAATATTTACAGTGCTCTAATATTTTTGCTTAGTTTTATCTGCCAGGTGCCTAAATGGACCACGTGATGTTGCAGGTAGTCCAGTTATGTTACACAGGACTGAATTTGCTCCACCTATTGCAACCATCTTTTTCCATGCTAAGTAAGATATAGCATTTCAGGCAAATGACTTCTGTCCTGAGGGGAGCTAGGCTAATTTGACAAAAATCCAGCAGCATGGATAGCTTTGCTTTGCTCACTGACTGCATACTCAAGTGACAGCTAGAAGGTACTTCAATGTGGAAAACCTTTCTAGCAAGGACAGAGCAGATACCAAAAAACTTCCATGCATATAATGCTGCATCTCTCTCTGACAGTTGATAGCAAACTGTGTCATGTGGGGAAAAGAAAGGAGAGCAGTTTAGCAACAAGTACAGAAAAAGGAATGAGAAAACATTTCAAACATCAGGATAATGAAGCAAAGCATACTCTTTCCATAACAAAAGGGTATCAAGTCAAACACTAGTTGTTCCTATTGCACTATATGTAAGCGTACATACATTCTTCTGTTCCTTATTTTGCTACACTTCTGCCTCCTCAACTCCAAAATGAATTTAAAATTGCTCTTAGTGTACATGGGTTTATGTAACATTAATGAGCATTTGCAAGCTAGTGTCTTCACACAGCTATTGAAACTCTACAGCAGTGTCCTCAACTACATATCTGTGTCGCTCTGAAAAATGCAGAAATGACAATATCCAAACTAATATTTGTTATAACTGTACCTTAAAATAGAAAAAAAGAAAAAAGTTAATTTTAGCTTGTTACCAGTTTTTGAGTTGATGTCACACCAGATCCTGTTGCTGTGCTAGTGATGATCACTGGAGAATCAGAATCTAGCCTGGTCTGAGAAGTGCTTGCATGACTAAAGTGGCTAGAAAACTGTGAATAAAACCAGAGTTTACAAAGAATGAATATAACTTTCTAGAAAATAAAATTTTACTCTTTAGAAAGTCAGGTTTTTTACTATTCTAATTATCCTTCTAATTTTAATGTCTTTGCAGATATTTTACCTTTATTGTTCCTGTTTATTAGCTAATTTAAAATCACTTGTCTAAAAATTGTAGAAAGGGTGTGAATAGCATTTGTCACCATTAGAACGATAAATCAAGAGAGAGGCACACACATCTTTGTTTTAACCTACACTTCGGCATGAAATGGTTTTACAGTGGCAATGTTTTCTGGATGACTCCAGGGAAGGTCCAGAACAACCAAGCTACTGGATAATAATCTGGCTAAGCTGACATGACAATACGCTGAGTTCCCTCTGTGCCTATATGTGTTACACCCCTAAAAAAGAAGCTTTAAGGCAAGCCAGCTTTTCTTCTTTTCGGAGTATTTTCTTAAAAATTTTCTTAAAAATTCAGGCGCTTTTAAGAAAAACTCAGCAGCTTTTTTACATAAAGAACCTTGGAGAGCAAATTCTGCTTATTGTAGTGATCTTGTCTTCAT